CACTGTATATATATATATATATATATATAAATTTCCAATCGCTTTATATACTATTTAATTATTTTTTTTTTAATGGTTTAAGAGCATTTATTTTGTACCATCGCTCAAAGTGATAAACAAGGTGATAATTAGTGATTACATATTTTCGTGATTATAAGGAGTCTATCTAATCGTTTAAAGTAGGGCCGTTGCAAATTACATTTTTAATTATCACGAGAGGTTAATGCATCGTCTAATTATATAAAAGAGTGTATTACTCATCGTTTTTAATAAACTATTACTCATAGTTATTAATTATCATATTATTAAGATTTAAATATGAATTATTTTAAATTAAAATTGTATATAATCTGAAGAAAAAGCCAGTTAATCGGATACAAAAAAGTACCCAGAATTTAATATTTTATGTAAAAAAAAAAAACTTGATAAGGAGGTGAAAAAAAAAGAAATCTTTTTCTATTTCATTCATATATTTTTATGGCTTTTTGAGAGGGGTGGGGGTCTCATATTTGTGAATGATCCGGGCCTCATCTCACCTCTTTCAGCCTCTGCATAAGCGTATACATACAGTTACATCAATGGCGAATTAATATATCTGGAGGCCCTAAGCGCTAATTGATTTCGGGAATGCTTTATTTAATATTTATAAGTTAAATTTAATTAACAATCATATCTATTTGGTACCTCTTAAACTCGGGAGCACCGAGCAAACGAATAAATTTCTTTAAGCTGTTAATTTGTTTGTAAGAAGTTTGTACAGTTTATACAGCATTCTGCAGACACGTGTTTCTAAAACATAAGTGCATTTATACACAGAAATCATCTAAAAATACATTAAAAACTCTCTTTTCATACAAAGAAAATATGAATTAGCCTAACAGAATGTATTGTACTTCATGTAAACTCTTGAATAAACATTCAAATAAAATGGCTTTAGTGATTGTATAAAGAAGAAAATAAATAAAAAAAAAACTGGGCCACTTCTATGTTAAGTAATAAGTTCAAATGTATCATCTTATCAATTTTTTATTTAACGTTTCATTTGTATATTTATTCAAGCATTAAAGGATTTAATGCATAAATATCGCTCCTTTCAAAAGTGCTCTTAGAGCAATCTAGAACCTTTTTTTTTTTTTTTAGAACTCAGTTTTTATAATATTCAAGAGGGGGGAAAAAAAGAAGATTAAAAATGCGACCTTTCAAAAGTAGACTTCGAAACATCGGCGCGACTTAAAAAACTTCTATTAATTGAATCTGTATAATCGAAGCAGTGACTGTAAAAAGGATGAAAAGTTCTTTTCACACACACACAAACATCCGAAAAAAAAAAAAGAAAAGTCCTCCCTGAGCAGGCCATGATTCATTCCAGTTAGACACACCTGTTGGTTCTGCATAGAACCAGTCTTTGAACAACGTGATTTTACACTCCCAGTCTCCCAGACAATCCCTGGGTTCCAAACCCATGACTTTATCGAAACAACTCAGTCGAGGACATATTTTTATGGATATATTCCGAGAGACGGTTGTTTCAGGTATGTTCTAGTATTGACTCTTATCGTAAATTAATATAATCTCCCTTGAGACAAAAAAAAATTCTCCTTATCTTGGTCATAAACTAAAAGGTGAGTAATCGTCACTGTTGATATTTTATCACCGGATTTGAATTGTATATTTTGGAAGGATCAAACTTTTATTGACTCACCTTTGCTGTATTACTTTATCTCTTTAAAGTGGTGAGGAATTTGAGATTTTGTTGCATTTTTAATTTACTTTTTGAAGCTTTTAAAGAAGATAATTATTAAAGTATTCGCTTGCAATCGCTTAAATAATAATATATTTACATTTGAAATGATTCCTAACGCTTACACTAGGTGAAAAAACGGCGCTGGTTGTTGTCTTAACTAACTTAATTACGTAAGATTTTATTTAAAAATTGTAATTTTCGAGTTATTTAAATTTCGAACTGGTTAAAAAGTGATGAAGTTGATGACCCTAAAATGAGAGAAAGAGTTTTTGCCCGAGGTATTTTTCTAGAGTAAGATTACCATCCCGAAACACACGTAAATCATTATAAGAATTGAAGTGTAAGCTCATTATTCAGTCACTCACCCCTACAACATTCGTGTAGATGGATATTTAAAACGACTACTTCCCTAGAAAAAAAAAAAACTTTTATTAATCAAAATATACCTGGAAGGTAAACAAAAGCTTTCTACGTATATATGGAATTTAAAAAAAATGTCGCATCTGGGAAAGGTTATGAGACGATTCTCTTTCTTAGAATAATGGATACGAATTTTTCAAAGGAAATATCTTATGATAAACGAATATAAATAATATTAATCTGTAAATATATGTTACACTTTTATAATTTCGCCAGTGGGGGGAGGTATTTTAAATTAATTTTTATAGGCTACTTCCGCCTTCCGTTTCATTGTTTTGCGTGCTAAACTGTCGTATCGTCTTCTTAATTTTGAATGAATACATATTTTTTTTTTTTCAAGCCTTTTTTAAGTTGTTTTTCTAATTTATGAGATTGTAAATCATGCTTTAAATTTTTAATTAAAGGATTTTTTGCTAATTAAATTCGCAAAACATACTTGTTCATTATAAGTTTGTGAGATTTTTCGCTTAATGTTTACTACTCCATTGAAATTCATACAGGATTATTGTATTGTTTGAAGTGTTTCTTCTTTCTAATTCAATTAAGAATGCACTCTGTGTTTACATTATGAAACCAGTCTTAAAATAGTTGTATAATTATTATTGTATACAGAAAAGTTTTCAAACTATAAGAATAAATTTACAAATATTTACCGAAATAAATGTATTTAATGAACATTTTGCACTTTACGTAAGGTTCATTTATTCGAATACGATATAATTTTATATCTGTATGACATTATTTTGTAATGGGAACGTATAAAATGACGTCAAATTGTACTGTACTGTACACTATTCTGATAAAACGATTGCATTTATAGTCTCAAAGTATAATAGTCGTATTTGTTAATTTACATTAAACAAATAAAAACAGCAATTATCTACAATAATAATTAAGAAAATATATAAAATAAACGAACACTACTTACATTCTAAATCTGTACCCTTTATACAATTTTAACATCCCCTATAGAAATAGAAAGAAAGAGTTTATATGTATGAAAAGATATTTTTTAATTAAAATTATGCAAATCTTACTGAATTTATGTATTTCATTCACGCTAGAATACAGTCGACCCCTCCTATAACACTATTGATTATTCCGTTTTATACGAATTCCATGTTGTACGAGTCACTTAGATTTTACAAATACATGAGCCGTTCACAGCCTGGCACACGTATTTGTAAAATCTAAGTGACTCGTATAACATGGAATTCATATAAAACGGAATTATCAACAGTGTTATAGGGGGGTCGACTTGTAGATTTTTCTAAACAATATTACATTTTATTATTTCTTTTCATAAATTTCAATAAGAAAACAACACATTAAAAACATTCATTTTATCAAAGATTCGAATGAAAAGCATTAACCTCAGGTAAAATAAGTTATACAATGTATAATAATTTGTGTTTCTTTTCGGTGATAGGAGAAACGCCTTGCCTTTCAAAGAATATCTTTGTATTTGAGAAAGAACAGGAATGATGTCTAACACTACATAGTAACGTAAAACCATAATACAAGTCTTATACTTCCCAGAAAAGATGGAGCCGTTTCTTAGCAACTTTCACGTTCCATTTGTTACGAGACTCTGGAACCTAGTTTAGATTTAGAACGGGTCGGTAGCAAATTACTTAACACCCAATACGACTTTTCTCATCCTCGACAAAAAAAAATATACACTCGAAAATTGATAGTGTCGCTCGTATTCTTTATATAAATTACATTAAAAAAAAAGACATCAGCGGCTATTTTACATTTTAATCGAAAAGATAACCTGTAAGCCCTAGTATCAGAACTCGTACATAAACAACCAGTTTTTAATCTGCCAAAATGTAAATTATAGTTATAATGCCTTAAGGATGGAATTAATTCTTGTGTATGTGTATGTGTGCGTGTGTGTTAGGCCTGAATTTTTCCGATTAAATTACTTTCTAAACGCCAGATGGTGCCACTTAAAAATATTTCTCGTAAAATATCCAACCACGTGATCGTCGTCGTGGGCCTTGTTTAGAAAGATGAATATTGCCAGTTCTAAAAGTAACAGGGTATTCCAACGATTTGTAGAATTAGCCAATCGCCTTTTCTTAAAATAGCTTAGGATATTAGTTATACTCTAATATCCTCTTGGAATTTGTCGGTTCCTCATACTAAACAATAGACTATACCCCCTATAACACTGTTGATAATTCCGTTTTATATGAATTCCATGATGTACGAGTCACTTAGATTTTACAAATACGTGTGCCGGGCTGTGAACGGCTCACGTAGTTGTAAAATCTAAGTGACTCGTACAACACGGAATTTAAATAAAACGGAATTATCAACCGTGTTATAGGGGGGTCGACTTGTATAGTATTTATCGTTTAACATGTTTCTATTAAACGTTATTGTTATGCATATTGGACTTATTATTAACATGTAAAAGTAATTTAAAATTAATAACACGTGAGAATTTAGCAGTAAACGTAAGAAAAAATGATTATATATTTAATATAGAATTTAATATTTTAATAAACTATCAAGTTTATTAATGGCGGATGCATTTTTTTTCTTTTTAAATCTACCAATACCAAACAATCTTCTTAGAAGAGCATCTTCGAGTGGATATTTTAAACGATTGTAAAGGGTTCCGTTCTATTTTTAGCTATTGTAGTCTTATTATTGAGGAAACAAGCAAGCAAAATGAATTGTCTTCAATAAATTACCATTCTTTAAGCATATAAAAACTGATTTATTACATAATTTATTCGAGATTTTTCAACTTTTCGCTTGTAGTCGCGATTAATTCGGCCTTATAGCGACTCATTATTGTTAATAAGTTAATGCGAAACTCAAGTTTTTGGGGTGGTTTTTAAGCACGGGGTCATCGATCTCCGGTTTAACTAGAACCACACTCGGATTTTTGGAAATTAAATATGTAATTTAACCATATGTTTTAACTCTTTTAACAGTATCTAAAACCGGAACTATCACTATAATTGCTTAAATTTTGTTTTAATTCCCATTTTAGAGGTGTTAAAATATAAAATTAAATGTATGGTACCGGATACTTGTGTTTTGTATTTAGGGGAAAGAAGAAGAAGAAGAAGGAAAAAAAAAAAATCATCGAGTGCTTACAGAGAGTTATAAATTTCGCAGTGTTTATAATACGCTATACAATTTTCTTCTTTATAACTGTATTTTTTTTTTATTTTGTTTTGTATTTTTTAACTGTTAGAAATGATTAAAATTCCAATAGCAACACTTTGACTCTGTTTACAGTTTCGAAACAGCCGAGAGCGTATCATAAATTCCTAACAGCAAAGCAGTAGCTACCTGTTTGGTAGTATCGAGTTACATGTGACTGTTGACATTCCGACGTCTGGAACGTTAGCGTTTATTTTCTTAACATCCTCTTTTCATGGCTGACCGAATAAAAGGTCCGAATGCTAAACTATTTCGTATACGATATACCTTTTCTTTTTCTATTAAAAGCATACCCGATAGTAGCGCTGGTCTAAGAAAACGGCAATGGTGTAAACTAATCAGCCTTGGCAAGAACTAGGGTCATTGTACTCGACATTCCCGTCCTGTGTGGTCGATCGAGCATTTCAAAAATGATTGTACGGCGGTATTAGGCGTGGGCAGACTCACTGTTGGTTTATCCAAATGTACTCTGCATATTGTTAACGTTTTAAATTCACCCGATACGGGCGGTTTAATAAAGAAAGCGCTAGTAGTAGTATTAGTTGTAGTAGTAGTAGAAGACCTACGCTCTGTAGTTTCTATTTTTATGGCCCGTACCGAAAAAGAAACAATCAATACGGTGCATTAACCGAAAGATTATACTAATAAAAATCACCAAAAACACAAGGTCTATGACATCTACGTACTTAATTAATGTATTCCTTCATATATATATATATATTAAAAAAAAAGTTTTCCTGCCGTAGGACGAGAGTTATCGTTCATATCTGGTTAATGTGCGGACGATCGCCGTTTTATGAATCTGGAAGGAAGAAAAAAAAAAATAAATAAATAATCATAATAATAAACAATGACCGACGACGTTTGTTTGTTTAATACATTTTAATAATACTTAAAAACTTCTATCAGACACCATTAATTGCTAGTGGCATTTAATGACTATTAAAAGACGGATCGTAAATTAAACAGGGTTTAGAGGTACCGACTTGGCAAATTTTAATCCGGATTTTAAGAGGATTTTTCTAGTATTTAAAAATAAAAAAAAAAGCTTTTTTGGGGGGGAATGAGAAAGGTTTCTAGAATGTTATCGAGTTGCGTGCGGTTGATAAAGCAATCAAAAGAGAAAAAACCAGAAGCTCCTAATTGTACCGATAAGGTCGAGATATGCCACGACTTCAAACGATGTCATCTACTAACTTTAATAGCTTATAACGCCAGTCGTTTTGACCCAATAAACGATTTAATTATGGGTTGTAATTATTATAAAAGTGAATTTTCTGTATACGACACTCGGACATATACATTTCTCATTGATTTATTATAGACAGCTGAAACTTCTTCACTATATTATATTACCGTTTAAAACTTGTTGCCTATTTAAGACGTTGGTGGAGACTTTTAATGTTACTTTACTCTCGGTGATTTATAGATTTTTGTGTTGGTCGTGACGTGTCTAGACTAGATTCGTCACGTAAAACGATTTACCTAATTTAACACGATTTATATTGTCGCTGGTTTATTAACGATAATCGTTTTATTTACTGTTGGTGTGTCGGGATCGTCGCGATTCGATACGCAAAAAAAGAAATTCGGTTTCGGCTCGTCTGGATGTTTGATTTAATTCGGCCGATTGGATATGCTTAATTGTACGAATTAACGTATATGTAAGCGTAAGCGCCTGGATTCTGTCACGTGACCGGCCGCTATTGTTCATTGTTCGTTTCCTAGTTTATAAAAAATAATTGGTGACACTTTTTTGATGTCGTTAATGATATTAAGCGTGATTTGAATAGCAAAAGATTGGAAGAATGGAAGAGATTGTAAAAGTAATCGGTTTTCGCTTATGTAATTATAAAGACCTGTAACCTGTGTACACTTTCGTAATTTGTTTTTTATGGTACAAAAAGCAATACGGACGAATACCACACATGACGCAAAAAAGGAGATTGCTTTTGTGTTAGGACCACCGCGTTTGACAACCCGCTGCGCGAACGAGTGACAAAACTTTCTTTTCTTTTTTTTTACTTTGTCAACGTTGTCGTCACTTCTTTGAAAAAACCACGTGTCTTTTTAATACAGAAATCGCAGATGGAACTTCCGGTATGTGTACCACCCTTTACCATAAAGAATGGAGGAAGTTTATCTAACTTAAAGGAAACTGATGTCATCGGCTTTACGTTGAAGAAGGATGCATTGTCGGTGGGGATCCGTTTTCAATATATTTATGTTCTTACGAAGATGTTGAACCTGTGTGTAATGTTATTTGGTCGTTAATACAGATGCGTCACGCGGTTATTGTGCCCCGCGCGCGTGGGTTATGATATTTAATTTAATTTAATAATTCTCTGTCTATATTTATTTACGTTTGTCGCCAGTAACAGTCACCAAAAAATGATAATAACTTATAGAAAATTAATTATTTAAGCGTGCGGAAACACGGATAGCGATTACTTGTGTAAGTGGTATGTCACCTGTCCATGTTGTAAAAGATGTTACGAGATAGCGCACGCAACTGTCTTTCAAGTCACGCATCTTACATGAATTAAACAGATGTATTTAGCATTCGAATAATTTTTAAACGACTTTTTTTTAATGTTAAAAAACAGTTTATATGTTTAACAATTAGGAAAAGCGATGTAATCGACACTAGATTAAAAAAAAAGAAAAAGAAATTAAAAGCCTAAATCTCAACTCGTCGATCCTTAAATATTTAATTTATTCGAATCAAACTTAACAGGCACGTCTGAAAAGAAGAAAGAATTGCAGTGGATGCTAATTACTCTTCATTTATCTAAGAGAAAATAAGTAAGATACTAATTACATCAGACTCCTAGAGCTTTTCAATAGCCTCTTCTTATCTGGAATTGGACACGGTGGCGCCACTGTCGATCTCGTGAAATGACGTCAGCCTAATAGCTGTCAGCGCCACCAAGCTTCACTCGTCGGCCGGGAGCGCCACCACCTTATTGTTTTAATGGAGTTTGGGTGTGTTTTTAAGGAGGAACTTAATTTTTTTAACTTTTACTGCCAAGACATCAAAATTCACTTAGTGAGAATGTTAATTTGAGAAATTCATTCAGTATTACTATCTTCCGGGATTGGTTTTAATTTACCCAAGCTTACCTGTTTAGTCTTTTCGACCTGAAACGTTATAACGAGGATATGACCCGGTAATGAATAGCCCCAGAGCTTAATATCGTTCTGGTTTTAGCGTTATATCTGTCAGCACCGTGTAGCCATTAAGTAAATCAGTGCCACGTTTGAATCGAATAAAAGAGCGTTTTGTACTTTTTTGGATAAATTACACGTTTTTCGAATCGCATGTTGTTTTACTTATCTCCTGTACTCCTAAGTGTTTTTGTTGCAGGAATCGAAAGGCCACCATCTGCAAACTAAGCAAAAGGAAACAAAAAAACAGCAGCATAAACCGGTCTTCTTGAATTCATAATTGCGTTTTTTTTAATTGAAATTATTCCTATTTCCTCACTCGAAAAAGTGCCCTAAATCTGTATAATCTATACACATCGTATTTAATAATATTTGTTATATTTATGTACACCAAAAACTTCGTAGACAAAAGACATTCCTGGCAAATGGGCAGTAAAAAACGAAGCAAAACTATTTAAAAGTCTGCAACAACAATCAAAGCGGCTTCTATCAATGGGTTTAAGTCAGTTCGTGACATAATAAAAATACTTTTATTGAAGCCAGGTTGCATCTCGATATTGACTTTTCCTGTTTCTACAGTTTGCCGTTATATCTTCAATATAAATTTTTATTATTATTATATCAAAGACCATTACTGATTTGAAGCGTTTGTATGTATGTCTGTCTGTCTGTCTATTATGATAATTGGAAAAAAATGAACTGGCTCATCTTCATAGATTAAAAAAAGTAACATTTATAAAAAAACATCTTCACGTATCAATTTCGTATAGACACCGTCCAAAGTTAAGGTCATTTTTTTTTTCTTTTTAAATTAATTTTATCATTTATTCATCGATGTTTTGAAGCATTAACTACTTTTATAATTTGTGTAATTAATGTTTTAACTGAGGAAAAAAAATTCTTGTAAATGTCATATCCTATTTCACCGGAAATGACGGCAGGTTACGCGATCCATAAACTGTTTCTTAGAAAACTGTACTTGAACCGAGGGTTTAAAAAACATTCGTATATTGCAAGAGAATTTGTACAGCAGTGTTAACGATCTTTTAATGTTCGTTCGAAAAATTACGATCTCGGATGTTGGAAAAGAAAAAAAATATATATAAAAGATTTCATAACGTGTCTCGATTAAAGGTCGTTAACGGGTTTTTGCCTCAGATTTTTACTAAAATATGTAAACAGAACACCCGCTAACGAGTTACTGTATAAGAGTCTGTACTCTTTCAAGGTCGCAAAACATCGATGACACAATTCTGTCGCATTTAATATTGACGTATAGGTTCCTTCGATAACTAGATTTAATATCAATTAATTTGAATTTGTTACTTTTAACACCTTAACGATAAGTAATACCGACTGACTGACCTTGTACTTCGTGCTCTAAAAATAAACACGTGTGTGTGTTGACTTTCATTAAAAAAATGGTTTTTGTATGTTAATCGTGTCACAATGAATGTTAACATTGTCGCCGATTTGTCGCGCAATTCAAAATAGATGATGATTGTTGAATGGATACTTTTTATAGGATTCCATTTATAGTACAAAAAATTCCCGAGTAATTGCAGGCATTTATGATTTGAGGGTGTATTAAGAAGGGAATTAGGAAAAGTCCAAAACTATTTGTCGGGTAGCCGATCAAATGGCCTAAAAATGGAAAAAATGGGCTAAAGTTCCTCACTTTCCAGGAGCGAAAACTGGCAGCATTCCTTACTCAAACGTGAAGGATCGCCGAATGCTACTGCAGGATTAAAATGAGCTTGGTGCATTCCTCAGATTAACAGAAGAAAAAAAAAAAACATGTAAAAGTCATTTAATGCGATTTTATTTTTGTAATCAACTTGTATCTGCGTGCTTATCTGATGACTACGAAAGCTTCCATCCAAAATATTATTATTACTATTCTTTTTATTATTCATTTTATTGCCTTTGTCTTCTTCTTTTTTGGCTCTTTTAAATGGTATTCGAATTAATAAGTTCTTGTGTATAATTTTTTTTTTTTCAGTAATTTATAAACTGTAATATTTGAAATTCCTATCGGGAATGTCATTTCTGTTGTTGGAAAGGACAAAAATTGTCGTTTCGACGCAACCAATGAACAGATTAAAGGTTAATTATGAGGTGCAGTGAGTTCCCATGACCGTGACGTGACAAATGACGCTTTGTGTGTGTTGCCTTATACGGCCTACACCTCTTCCAAACTGCCAAAACACCTTTGGGAATAATCGCGCTAGTTCTTTACCATAGCTGTTTTATCAGTTGCGGCGCGGAGTAAATGAAACTTTTTCTATCTTTTCTAAATAGGTTAATTTCGATAGCGGGTAGCTCTTCCTAGTTACAGTTGTTTCTGTGGCGCCCCGACTTCGTTAACTCGTGACAAGCAAGAGCCTCTAATTCACTTACTGGCGTCACATTTGTTACGTAAACTGTTACGACTTTCTTAGTCTCATCGATGCACGGAACATAGCATTTTTCTTCCCCCCATACAGCAGAAGCGGGGAGTGTCCGACTACATTTATATACTATAGGCCTATACGGAAACCAGTTCGACTTTTCGACCTCCCTACTTTTGTCGAACGCCGGGTTTAAAGTTTAATCGCGTATTTGTGATGACGTAGCGCATCATTCATAATATAGCCCAGATATCAAATTCATTGAAGTATTTACAGAGGACGGTGCCATGTGACAGATGGGGCGAGTGATTACTGACTCATGTTGGAGCCTCTTTTGAACCTCCACCTTACCCACCCCAGTCTGAGAGCGGTTGGTACAACCCTCCGTTATCTCATTTCGTCGGCCCTTCTCTACCAGTTCGGCAAGAACAGGTCCACCTGCGGCCCAGTCAGTTAGTGGAGCTCTACATGTGATGGGCAGTGTGATCTCATGACTCGGTAGCTATGCCCAGTGGTAGCATGGCCGCTGTGGTGACGGACAGAACCTGTTCCGATGTCGGTCGGGATTGGGATTCTGACACTTCTTTACAGTGGGAAGAATTCTTTGGTGAGTCATCTTTTTTTGTTTTTTTTTTACTTATAGAACTTTTCGAACAAAGTACACGGACTGTGTTCAGTTACATGCGAGTTACGGGTGTAAGAAGTTCGTCTTAAATATGGAGACGACACGTGTAAACGATGTAGGACCACTAAACTAAATGTCGTCAAGGAAGTGAATGTCCTGGTTGTTTACTGGCTTTTAATTAACTCATCTAATTGTAATTATAGTGAAGTATAGACCGAAGTTAATTAATAAAGATAACACCGTTTTCGCAATAATTAGTTTACCAAGTTAACTCGTCCTACTTTGTGTCATAATACTTTGAGAGGGAGTGATTTGGCAACAAAAGTCAGCCAAGGCTCGGTTCACTCGGGACGAATTCATAAATCATAAAATGAGTTTTGGCAGCATTCGGGCTAGATGATAGAAACAATCCATTTTTTTCCCCACTTTATCCCCCAACGTCTTGACATTTTAGGTGCGGCTAAGTATGACGAGTTTCTTGCCACTTAAGGATGGGAGAAAGCCACTACCATCTTGATTGTTTTCCATCCTTCTCTCGTGAATAATTCATTAGCTGTATTTCCGTTTAATTATATACATTTTTCTAATGTCGCTCCTTAATAGAGCACGCTTAAACGGTATACAATTTCCTACTCGAACCGACTTTGTACCGGAGACTGCGAAAGTTCGCAGATACTTTTCGATGTGTTTACAAAAGGTGGGGTTCCAGAGAAAGTAATGCCGAATTCTATTTTAGGTGGGAGGTCAAATGCTGGCTGGTTAGTACGGTGGGCCCTCACTCGGGTAAAAGACTCCTATCGAGGGGCCCCACCCGGCTTAGTAGGTGGGCCTCGAGTCATAGTCTTATTAACTTAGATGCGATCCCGAATTATGGTAGGTTATTTCCTTTGTCACATTCTTCTAGTAAATCTTCATTTAACATACTGTACTGTACATAAACGACAGACAAATCTGCTGGCATTATTCGAGTAACCTTCGAAACCAGCTGGGATTAAAGTACAACACTCGGATATATTTACAACATATGGAATGCCTTATCGACATTCGGCATCACATAACATCCAGTAAGTTACAGGAAGCAGCTCGGAACAGAAATAGCCCTTAACAATAGAGAGGATAAGTAAACTCTGTTGATGTGGAACCCGCCTTTATTCGAAAACTGTTTCAGTTATAAATATTTAGTTCAACTAGTTTTTATGCCAGTTGGCTAGTGTACAACTCCCATTAAACCCATAAGTTTTTAAATAGTCAGGATTAGGAGGCCCGGTGCAAATGCCACCATTATGTTGGAACATTTTTGGCACAAATGAACCGATTTGTTTACTAGAACTACAACTCGAGAGCTCTCCTCTCCGTATAAAAACGTCATCTCGTCATTGATTCGTAGTGGAAAACGGCACCTCGGACCACCCCTCCGGTGGTCCAACAGAGGTCACCGTGGGAGGCATCCGACCCAACCCATCGTCATCGGGACTTTGCAGAGCCGCCTTCAATGTCCGGCCGGCCATTGGAGGGTGGACCTGCATTTGCGATGATTGGTAGCGTGTCAAGTACAAAAAAAGCAATTCCGTACGGCGAAAATAATCGATGTCACGCTTTTATTATTTTTCCTAATCTAGTTTACACGCCTTCGAAGTATGCGAATTTAATCCGCGATTTTGGACAAATAGGAGCAAAAAGACGTTAAACACTCCACAGAAGCGCTTGTTACGAGTGATCGACCCCATATTAATGTGGAAAAAAATCGCATCGAGGTTACATTCCGCGCGACTCATCCTTCAAGATGACATTTCTGTCAGAGTTAATTAACATCCCAGAACCAGTCAATAAGGCGAGCCTTTGCGTCCTTCAACCTGTTTTCGACGTGTCCTTTTTGCACAAAACAGTCGTGTCTATTTTAAAAATCTAGTCCCCCCTTTTTTTTTGCAGGAAGTTACACTGAGATTAGAAGGAGCAATATTCCTAATTTCCATATTGGTGTTTATCGTCTATTGTTTAGAGTCCATCGAACAATTACTTTGCAGTTGTAGGAAAAACAATTCCCCTCGGTAATTCATTGTGTTGTCAATTACGACGAAGCACTCTCGCTGCGCTGTATTGAAGTGAAAGCTCGTCCGTACCGCTACCACCTCGTCTGACAGGTTGCCTCTCTCTCCCAATGTTGCAGGTATGTGTGCTCCGTTATGCTTAGGTGAGTGACACATTAGGCAAGCGGCCAGAATTCTTCCAGCTGATGTTGATGTCTATATCGCGGACTGATTCTTACTTAAACGAGGTGATGTTTTTACGACACTAGGCTACTATTAGCGACTCTTCTCTCTCGTCTCTCTTGATTAAGTTAAGCAGCAAGTCTAGTATTGTGTTTTTTTGCAGCTCGTTTCTTCTTTTAATTGTATACGTCGAATTATTTTCTGTGTTAAATGCTTTATTTATTAACGATGTCGAAAAATGCTTGCCTAGGACGAAATTCAATTCTGCGCGGAGGACAAAATTGAGCTGTCTTAGCGCACAATGATCCTATTTTGTTTAGGTTTTGATAAAGAGATCCGAATAAAGGATGTTGTGTTTACGAGGGCGACCAACGAGGTCCCTTGTTTTAAGGGTCTCGATGCAATAGCCAAACGAGGATCGTTGTTAGGACATACAGCTTCGTACCCGTCGACGGTAAAGAACGTCGCTGCTAAGGGTAAGTTTTTTTGTATTTGTGATGCCGTAAACAACCTATAGCTTCGTCTAGCCCCTACGTATTATTTTCAATTGTTTGGGCAGATACCGGATAAAGATCGTTTAGACGATGGAAATTAAATTCAATTAGGGTTTAGAATGGATCGATTCCGTTTAATTTAAACTGATTTATTCCGAGTGAGATTAAAAAAGTGTAAATAAACGAGCGTCGAGGGATTACAAGATTCGGAGTCGTCCCTGACCCGTTATAAGGATCGACCTCTGTAGGTCTTGAGAGACACCATATGGCGCCGTCTGCTAGTTGAAAATAAATGTGCCGCTGTCTTGCCCAAGACAGGTGGATGGCCCTTGGGAGGATTTGGTTACTTCCTGAATGGATACAAACTCTTTGGTGATGTAGAAGATGTTTAAACACTCGTAAAATTTATTTGGTTGGATGTACGCGCGAATTACCCCCCCCCCCGTTAATTCCGTTTAACACGAGAATGGCATTACGCGATCGTTTCTCTCTCTCTCTCTCTCTCTTTTCAGCCAAGTTACGGTTTTAGCAGATAGTCGGTATTTTTCTAATGGCATAGTTCCAGGACATCCTTCCAAGATCCTTGACACGATCTATTTGGGTAAAGGGCGAGATTTAGATAAATATTTGACTGTTGCCAGAAGCGGAATTTCCTGAAAAATATTCTATAGTTTGTTAATATCTGCACCAGAATCGGATGCGGAATCTCGACGATGGCATTTTTCATCGATTCGCATTCTTTGCTACTCCGCGATAATTCCAGGAAACTTCTTTTAATGTGGGAATTTCGAGATTTGGCAGTTAGTGCTTTGGACGCGCCGCACCGGAGATAGCTTTCCAGGCATTTTTTTTTTTTTTCGGAGATAAAAGCTACGTTTGCTGACATCTGGCCATTGTTTGTCGAACTACTTTTCGACCTTGAGTAGAGGTGATAGCGCTCGAAGTCGGTTAAGTATCTTCCACTTCTCAGTAAAATGTTTGGGGACGAAAGTGAAAATCGAACCGCGAGTTACGCCCTCGATTTTCTGGTTTACGCACTCGAAACTCTTAAAAATTCATCATCTAACCGTAACGGCGGTATTGCATTTCGATAATTAAATAATACTTTATTGTATTTAATCAAGGATTCTATAAGAGCAGAATAAATTCTTGTAATCTTTCCAAATCCGTAAGAAAACTTTCCAGTCATTTAAAATTCTTCCAAGGATATTTCGATAGATATCAAAACAATAAAGATGTAAATCACGATCCGTCTAAGCGAAAACGTGACCATAATAAACGTTTCCTCTCGTTCTCTAAATATTTATATCCGAGCTAAATTTATTTACACACGGGGGCTCCGATAGACCGAACCGTGCAACCCCCGATTCGTTTCAAATAAATAAATTTTTAAACTTCTAAATAAAAGAAAACGCGTTAAGAACGACATTCGCCATAACAGGAAACGACTTCCGAAACGAAGAAAAAAAAAAAAAAAGAAAAGAAAAAAAAAAAAGAATTAAATTATTGTTTTTTTTTCGATTTTTTCGTAGGATAGAAAATCGTCGCCGATACATAATAATTTTTTACACTGTAATTACTATAAGAGCCGGTTTTGGTTTTTAGCTTTAGGGCTTCCAGAAGAAGGGGCCTTTGAAAAATACATTCGTGTTAAGTTGTAAAAGCAAACGTTTAAGATTCTGTCGTAATTATTATGTAGCGACTTACTTACTAGATTAAGTTTTTATTTTCGTTCCTCCCCCCCCCAAGGTGAGTGTAAAAGTTGTTAACGTGTACGGCATTGTTGTTGTTCTGTGTTTTTTAACTGTAAGTATTCTTGTTTATATTTGTTTAATTTAAAATTACTCTCTCTTTTTTAGGTACATCCGTCGATATTTCGTCCAGTCTTCTTAATATGTACGATCTCATCGCCGCTAGTTCTAAGAGCGAAAAGAACGAGGAGACGAGAAAGATCCCGCGAATTAACATCCTGGAAGTGGACGATGGACACAAGAAACGTCCTCTCAGCTCGAGTTCTGTTTCGTCGTCGTCTTCTTCTTCTTCTTCTCTTCCACGTAGTGGACCGGAAAGTAAAAAATTAAGTTATCTAGCGAGTATAGAAAGTTTAGACGACGAATTGAGCGAAGACGGAACACGTAACATGACCGAAAATTTAAGTAGTGATAACATACAAAATTTGAGCCAAACGGATCGAGTTCTTTTAGAAATTGTCGATTCCGAAAGGATGTACGTCAGGGATCTTCGCGTGATCATAGAGGTGAGAAATATTTTCTTTTGTTTATTTATTATTTTTTTAATGTTTAACAGAGACAGGTGATTACTGTTACCTGCCCCCAAGCAGGTAAGGCACGGATAGGTACGCGCTATTGTTTAACCATCTGCAGCTTAGCAGATGGCTAAACAACAGCTGCTCCGGTGACGTCAGGAGGTAGTTCTCGCTTGGTCATAAAGTCAGACGACTCGGTTAATAACTTTGTCATTGACCCTAATTGAAGAAAGTTACTTTAATTAACCATTTCCCCCCCCAACCGATTTGTTTCATAATTTCATTAGTTATAGGAACGAAGCTAAATTAGATTAATTTATTACGTACTAGGAATATTCATTTGAGTTCCTTACAGGTTAGAAACAAAGGAAGTGTGTAAGGCCTTTATGGGTGACGTGCGGATCCGATTTCCTCTTTTGTTAACAAGAGAGAGAGAGAAGTTGCGGCTCTTCTCCATTATTTTGTTACGCGTATATATAATTATACTAAATTTTAAATATACCAAAATAGTATTTTAGAAAGTGCGTTAACACAACGTATTGTAGTGTGTATATTTTTTTACATACAGTGGACTTCTCGATATAGTGAAGAATTTTGTTTCTTATAACTTATGGTCCTATATAGTGACAGAATTAGCTCAGGCCTTTGAGTGTTTACTGTATCAATTGTCATATTTATTACTGTATTTAACAAACATGCTATATAGCCTACATATAATTTGTAAAATGTGTCGCGGTTGGTTGGTTTGTACTGTGATTCTGTATCAAACGCCGCCATTGGATTAAATTAATTCGTGTGTCGTCATCGAAAGTGAATCATTGAAATATTAATCGAATACATCTAAATAAGTTTATTAATTTTAGAATTAAATTAAAATTTAAACATTATAAATTATTACGTAACATCTAATTTAAATATTTAAACAAAAAAAATCTCAAAACGATCAATGAACTGAAGTCATTATTAATTAATAAGCATTTTAAACACGGAAGTGTTTATTGGCTAAAATTTGAACTTTCAAAAAAAAAAAAAAAACGATCGTACCAATTATCGTAGAGAAACGCTCTTCAGCCGAGTGATTATTGGCTAATTTTAAAATTCGTAATAAGAAAAAGTAAAGTCAAAATTGAAACCGTACATTCGTTCCACCTGTTTTTAATTAATCATAATTTAATACGAGCGACATCGCATACAATAAAACACGAGTGAAAAACCATATGACATCAACTACAGTACTGCAAGTTGTCAATCGTCATCACGGTGGCATACGATAACCTTTTAAGATCGAAATTAACGCGACCAAAACAGAAATATATAAAAGTCAAAAATTAAAATCCGGGTTAAAAATATCATAATTTAAAGTGTTTTGTTGAAACATTTTCTTTCTTTATAAACATACAACAGGAAACAAGCTCTTTAAAATATATATATCTACTTTCAGATAGTATCGTGCTGGTAATTATGTTATTCGTAGCATAAACACAACCCACGATTTGTCTGTATATTGTTTAGGTAATGGCGCCTCTTACCAGTTTTCGATGAATGGAATCTTTTCTAAAAGTCGAGAACTTGTTCTCCTCTTTACTACTTGATCACGTGGAAGCTGATAGATGAAATTTTTTTCATCCATTCATGGCATTACGTTGCATTTCCTGTGTGACCTTCTCCCCATCCTGTAAACCCCTTCGTGGCGCCAGATCAGATTTCTACCCCTCCCTTCTTAAAATTCTTACACTTTTATCATTAATAAGCTTGAAACTCCCTGGATAAAATATGAGATTATCTAGAAGAAAAGGGGGTTAAAAAAAAAAAGGGAGTGATTATGAAAGATACTGTAAATATTATCAGCTTTTAAAATTTTTTCTTCTTCTTTTTTTTTAATTCTAGGGCTACTTGAAACACATAAGCGAACAAGAGGGTAAACTCAGCAAACAAAGCTTAAAAGACCTGTTCAATAACATAGAAGATATTTATAAATTCAACAGGTGAGTTTGCATTCTGGGCTTCCTCTTTCGGTTCTGCGGACGGGCATGCCGGTCGGTCTCTCGTGGCCACATTTCAAAATATCCCAAACGCGGATTCTGCTGAAGCAATTCGATCCTTACAGGTCAACAAAAGGAAATTCGTTCTTATTCCCTGTTTCTGACAACCGGTTGAAATAAAACTGTCGTAGTTTTGACCCGCAATGATATGTGTAATTGGTACCACTCCAGTGTTACAGAAATAATCTTGTACATTGTTTACATTATAAAGTTCCAGTAAAGTTGACAAGTGTTTCTTCAGACAATGAATCCATTGATTGTGGCCTCATTATTACCAGTTCACACTAGCTCAAAACATTTGAAATTTAAATGCTGTTGTTCTAAACATTTTTAAAATTGTAACTTAATTTCTTTTGGCCGAGAAAAAAGCTTGGGTTTTATGCGTCCAATTGTCCATCTGTCCCGGCGTGAGATTTACATTATGCGATTATGTAGCTCAAAAAAACTGAAAGATAATCTTAGTAAAACAAACAGAGTAACTCTTTGTGTTAAACTTAGTCGCATTATGTTTTTGCCATATGCTGCGTTGTCACCTTGAGTGATGTAGTCGGAAACATCATACCACTACAATATTCTTGTTAGTAAAACTTTAAGTGCATCTGCAGAGAAGGTATTGAAGAAAGTCGATAGGTTACAGAGTAATTTGAAGGTCGGCCATTTGAAAATAAGCTTTTTTCTTCCTCTGATATTTAAGTGCGCTGCAACTGAGGAAGTCTAACAAGTAATTCTCTGTTTATTTTTCATCAGATTATTTAATCAAATGGATTCTAATAAAAATTTTATGATTTCAGCTCATTTCTGGAAGAACTGGAAATGTGCGGGTTGGATCCGGTTGCTATTGCAAGATGTTTTGTCAAAAATAGCTTTGGATTTGCTGTTTATACACAATACTGCACTAATTATCCGAGGTAAAACACACTTAAATAAGTTATAAAATTACAAATAAACACCCACTTAAGAAATATGATCTTTAATTTCATTTAGGACAGTCTCGGTGTTGACTGAATTGATGAGGAATACAGAAACAGCAGAGATATTTAAGGTAAACAAATAAAAAACAACAAAAATTAAAAAGCATTTTAATAATTAAGAAAGTGTTTAAAATTCCCATATATCTTAGGAACGACAAAATGCTCTTCATCACGTCCTACCATTGGGTTCGTATCTGTTGAAACCCGTTCAGAGGATACTCAAGTATCATTTGCTTCTAGAGGTAATTTATATTAGTTATTATTTTTAAGTTATTAAATTATGGAATTATTTATACTAATATTATATATTATGCTTTTTAACAAACAGAATATTGTAAAACATTCTGATAAAGACAATGAGGGTTATCCAGATATCAAAAATGCACTCTCTGTAATGACAGGTATAGCATTTCATATTAATGATATGAAAAAAAGGCATGAGAATGCTATACGTGTGCAAGAAATTCAAAGTTTATTATATGGTTGGGAGGTAAGATATACTTTTTTTCTAATTACATAATTCAGCTTTTAAAACTATTTTTCTGTAAATTTGTACTAAAGAATCTAAAATCTACAAATTTTATAAACACAACCAAAGGCATAGTTAAATTTATAAACCCCACAAGTGTGGGCTCATAAATTTAACTATACCCTTGGTTGGTTTATAATTTTTACATGCTCTATGTTATCTGTAGCTGTTAGTAAATGTTAGTATGTAATATATGTGTATGTACTTTTACTTACCATTTTTACACAGCAAGTTTAATAAAAATATAGAGTTGTATAGGAAAGTAAATGATAAAAATGACATATATTTACTTGTTCTGTTTAAGTGGTAGCATGAATCCAACAGGAGAACCATGTTAAATCTGTTAAATGCAATCTTAGCATTTCCCTCTAATAATTCCAAAAATAAAGAAATTAAATTGTAAATAGTACAGATTCCTATAAAATTCAAGTACTAAATATAAAGCCATTCCACTTAAGAATGTAAAATGTAGTTATAATTTAATGAATTAAGCAATTTAAGAATGATGCTGTTCCAGATAATTATAGATACATGTGTATTGAAAAATACAAATGTGAATCTTTCATTCTTATACTGTTTAAAACAACAGGGTGAAGATCTTACAACTTATGGGGAGTTGGTGGGCGAAGGAGCTTTCCGTATGTTTCGCGCAAAGGCGCTCCGCAACCTCTTTCTATTCGACAAAATGCTATTGATTTCAAAAAAGAGGGAAGATGGAATTTTATGCTATAAAACACACATAATGGTAAGCATTGTTATTTTAACTTCACCAGTAACTATTTTCATAGTCATGACGATTAACATAATGCTTTCAGTGTTCAAACTTAATGCTGATTGAAAGTATCCAAGGAGAACCATTATGCTTCCATGTTATCCCATTTGATAATCCTAGATACCAGTATACATTTCAGGTAATTTATTAATCATTGAAACTTAGAATTTTACATGAATGATTTACTTAGTTAATGATAATTTAGAATGTACTTATGTATATGAAGATTTCTAATTTAATTATTGAATTTTAGTATAGTACTGTACATAACATCTCGAAATTATCACTTTAGGCTCGGAATGTCGAACAGAAACGTGAATGGTGCTTGCAGTTGAAGAGAGTCATCTTGGAAAATTATAATGTGGTTATACCTTTGCATGCTCGCCAATTAGTCATGGAATTAGGTCAGGGAAGACAAAATGGTAAATATAATCTGAATTTTTAGCTATCACAAACTATTTTTCTGTTAAGTCTTCTTTCAAACCTATAGTCTTATGCAATTGAGATGTGAAAGCCTGTATGCTTTTGCAATACTAATCTGCAGATTTCTATCATACCATCACTTTACTTAAGAAACGACTTCCTCGTTGTTCTCAAATTTCATCTTTCAAATGACTGAAAAGAGTTAATTGGAAGAAACATGATCCAGGCTGTAAGATATGTGACAAGATGTTTCGTGGTAGTCTCTTGGATACATAGACTTGTTTAAGACATTGTATTATGGTGAAGAAGTGCACTTTCATCATATCTCAGGAAGAATTTGCTTTAGGTTCTTTACAGCTTCTACATATTGCTCTTTATTTAAAATGCACATCACTCATAGAAATCAGTTTCAAAGATCTCTACTTTATTGTTGAACCTTGTGCATAAGATTGTAAGATACTTGAAAGATACAGTACAGAAATAGCTATTTTTTCCAACCAAATTTAAATGAGAAACTAGATGTGTTTCATTAATTTATGGATACTGCTTATAGAATATCAAATTCAATAGAGTCAACTTTTGTTCACCTCTGAAAATGACACTAAACTGAAGTACCTCAAACAATAACAGCTATATTTAAATGATAGGGTATTTATGATGGAAGCTTATCTCACTTTTAGAAGAGCTGCATTCTATGAAAACTATAAACACACATTCTGATGGAACAATTTACAATCCTTATTTCATTTCTGTTGAACCACTTTATTGGTTGGCATCATCTTTTCTTGAGGAATTCTTTCTGCCATTTTTTAAATCACAAAATGACTCTGATCCATTTGTCAGTGAATTTAGATATAATCAGTGAATGTTGCTCCAAGGAAACTTTGTTAAGCCAATGGCTTTTACCATAGAATCTACACTAATAAAAAAATGAAATCAGAAAATGTTTTCATGACCTTTAAGAAAGCCGCAAATGCTAGTACAGTTTTAAAAGCTACAGATCATGAATATCCCTAATGAGATATAATAACACACTTTGAGTTTAAGAGTTTGAAAGCCATGTTATTTGGTGATGATGCCATTTGCAATTTTACATTTAATAATCTACAGCTACTGAAGAGTTTTCTGTTTAATATTTATGTAGACGATCCATTCACAAGTATTTGCTGGCACTTTAGGAGGGTAGCACTACTTCAGTGGACACTCTACTGGAATTTGAATGTATTTGCCACAACAAAATACTATAAATCTGTTTTACAGATGAGACTGGAACAGTTAAGTCACCAGCCTACCATTCTGGGGACCCTGGATTGAATCCAGATGAGATCTCCTGGATATGCAGGGCCCTACTTCTTACCATGCAGTCATTCCAGGCCTAGCTAAATCCACAATGAATGTGATTAAAGGCCCTCTTAGTGCCCACAGGGTGGAATGAATAAAAAGAAAATATCTGTTTTATGTAAACATATACAAGAATTTTCATGTAATATAATAATTTTAAAAAATTTTTTAATTTAGATGATTCCCAAATGGAAAAAACTTCTTCTAAGAAACAGTTATCGGCCCCTGAATATTTGGAAAAACGGAAACAAGAAAGAAGAAAGTCAGAAAGCAGTCTGAAAGCTTTCCGGATAAAGAAAAGTAAGAATTTTATACAGTTTTTTTTTTTTTAAATTACGAATAAAAAATTAAAACAAAACATTAATATATATTTTTTTCATTTTTATTTTTATAGATGTTAAGAAGGTAAGTCAAACTTTCGTTATCTATTTTTAATATTAGAAATAAAGTTTAATTAATTAATTATTTAAATAAATTGTGTAAATTTGAAGAATGTAACACAAGTCAGTTTCAAAATTTTCACATTTGTTTTTGGTACCAAATAAGCTAAGCAAATATCATACAATTATTTAATTAAAATGCGTCAATGTCCTTGACTTACTAAAATATAAATTTTAGTCATACAATTATGTTAATGTTGTCACCTAGACACAGCAAATACAGTGTCACAGATTTGACAGCCATTGGCAAAAGGGAAGAGAAATATACAGCCAACACTATGTCCCTGTATATGTTTATGCCTACAATATTGGATAACAAACAAAGGTAATGATGGACAGATTGTCTTTTCTGAGTAAGGAAATCCCATGGACATTACACAACAAAAATTAAAATGATAAATTACCTTCCTCTTTTCTTATAATTGTAAACTTTAATAAATACAGGAACATACAGAACATGGTAAAAGTTGGCAAAGATTGCTGGCCCAGTCATGATACAAGGAACTTCCAACTGTATCATTACATGGGGGGGAATGAACCAGTTGTACTTGTATGTTGATGATTGCTGTAATATAAATCATTATTGTATATAAATTATGAAATAAAACAGATCTTAGGAGAGAAAAACAAAGAACAAACAAACCTTAACAGCTTGATTTATTGATTCAAAATTTTATCAACTTCTTTAACTGTTTTAGTTTCTGGAAACAAATTAATATTTTATTAACAATATACTTTACTTAGAACAATATTTCCATACTTTAAACATATTTTCCAATAAATTGCCCATATTTTTGTGTAGAATAATTTTATTAGTTAAAATCATAGGTATTTTTCTCTATTCAAAAAGTTACTTTAAAATATCTAATAAGGTATCAATTTTTTTCTCTTTTGCAATTCTACATAGAATGTAGGATTGCAATCTAGAAAAGTTACATGTGATCATAACAAATTTTTACATTTAAAACTGCTTCTAAATAGTTATGGAGCATGTCAATTGTTGTTAAGAGAGTTGAGTAGAAGCATTCTGTTAATATTTTTCAACTTCTACTTCAATTAACAGTTTCATAAATTAATATCAATATTCAAAGTCTATTAATTTGATGAAATTGATGGTACATTTTTCACTTAACAACACTTCTAAATAATGGGGATAAAACAATTTATTATTAATGCCTAATTTTATCTGCATCTAAAAAATTAATCCATTTAATTTATATCATTCTCCATTGTTGCTTCTGAGTATTGCTGATCTTGCAATTATTACTTCAAATTTGTTCTTACTTACAAATTTTACAACTGCTTAATTACAGAAGCTGAGAACTCTTAATGGAAGCGTTTTCATAAATATCAGCATATAAATTAGTGGAATTCTGAAGCAAACAGTTATACCATTTATTTGTTTGTCTGGTGTCAGTTTCTGCAATACACAAAATTTCTTCATTTCCTCATCATATTTTGCAGTAAATTTTCCACTTTCTACAACCTGTTTTGTCCCCCTGATAATACATTTTCCCGTATTCTTTATCATCCTATTCATTATACTTTCATTTAAATTCATTTCTAGGAGTGCAAAATGCAATTATACAAAGCAATACATTGTGCATATCCTTTGTACATTCTTTCAACATTGATGGCCCATCCAGCCATTAATATGGCTGAGGCAGTTAAGGCATCATCCCACCTTCTGACGATATGGAATTAAATTTCAGTGAGCAACCACCAATTTTTCACAGGTTTATTTTGGATATGTTGCGGACCCTCCCTCGCTACCCAGCTCACATAGTGGCCTGGCCAAACCTATGAAAAAATTTCCTCTCAATGCTCACAGAATGGAAAGAGCAAACAAATTCAATTTTAAATTTATCATTTTTCAAAACACAATTACATAAAATGTTACTTTTATTTGTTTATATAAAAGTTTCAAAATATATTTAGAGAAAGGTCAGATGTACTTAATGACAAATTTCATAACTCCAACTTCAGTGAAAGACAATTTTGGAAAATGACTTTCGTCATCACATCCTCCAGATCAAGAATTTTAAGTGCGTTTCTTTCAAAATCCATTTTAAAAAATATCAATTCACTCTGACCTTTAACTTTTTAAGGAGGTTTAAGAAAAACAGAAGCTGCCCGGGAATATATTTGAAACTAAATAAGATTTTGCCACTTTAAAAAAAAGTCCTCTTGTGAGTGAAGAATGACAGGAAATGTTAAAAAAAAAAAAAAAAACAGTTTTTAAATCTTATCAAATTTACTATCCAGCTAAGTACTGTCCTTTGATAAGTGTTTTGGATAGACACTGGGAATACGCCTTAAAAATAATGGAAAATAAACGCTAATGTGCCTTTTTCACTATTGTTGAGACGTGTTTATCTAAAACTACTTTAGAACACACAAATTTATAATTTTGCTCACATTTGAAACATGGAACAAACAAATTTAAACTGTCAAACATTAAAATTATTAAACTAAAAATTTTAAACTTAATCTAAGACAATCCTTTTTAAGAAATATATTATAAAACAGGAGTACTTGAAACTATTTTTAGACCATTCCACTGTTCTTTAAATGTCCACATGCTTTAAAAAGTCCCATAAACAGTGGGTGTATTGCCCGGTAAAGCAGCTTTAATACAGCTGGATAAGCAAGTCAATCACAATCCATTTCAAATGAAAAGGGCTTACTTATCCACCTGTGTTAAAATCACTTTACCAGGCAATGCATCTATTATATAAAGGTACTGTCAGACTGCTTCACACAAACGAGAACACAAATCCAACATACATAAAACATCTTATAAAATCCTAAACTTTATATAAATAATCCTAGTTAGTTCTTAGTGGTTGGATTTAAAATCTGGTAGATCATTTGGTATTACTAACGTATCAGGTTATGTATGTTATTATATATACATATAGTCCATTCAATGGTTTCTAACAATTAACAAGGGTGATCACATTATTCTCTTACCTCATGATAATGGCTTTGAAATGACACTTCACACACACTCCATTCAAATACTAATGCATTCATTGCTATTGCTTCTAGGCAAATTTGTATGTTATGGTAATTTTTTTATCTATGGCCATTCACAGAAGGGAGACAGGTCATGTTGGAAGCCCATAATGGAGCTTCACTACAGAATCAAAACTTGTTAGGGCTTCTTAAGGGCAGTGTTATCTTTTATAGCAGTTTTTCTTAAATTATTTCAAGACCAATAATGAACCAGTGATCTGGTTCATCATTAGTGTTGTCATGAGCTTGTATGGGGTCCAGAGGCAAGTAGGTCCCTTTTGCCCTTTTTTTTTAACAAATGAAATATGTACTATGTTTCTTTATTAATAAAAAGTGATCTTAAAGATTTTATTTTCTGTTAGTCCTGTACTTGGAAACTGAGATTACATACTGTCAAGGTAGAAAGTACATTATATAATGACCAAATAGGGAGCCTTAGAACTATATTTGACAAACAAACTAGCCCAGTAGACAAAAGCTTCCCCAATATTCAATAATGGAATAACTGAAAGGCATATTATTGAGTGATACTTTGTAATGAATTTATTCATATGGATGATATATAATTTGATTGAATTCATAATATCTGAAAGAGAAAAGTATGTGCTAAAGTATTTATTATTTGGAATTGTATTCTTGTAAATACGATTATGACTATAAATGTTTCCATTTGCAAACAAACTGTAGAATCATCTCTGTTCCAAATATGGTTCGACAAGTTTTATTTATGACAACAATAAGCAAGATCTCCAAATTTGGGATGACATATGCTTAATAGGCATTCTTCTACAACTTTTCTAATAATCCAAACAGTATATAAAAATTATTTTTAGATTCTAGTGAAATAAATTACATATATTTTAAATTAATTCAACTATTCTTCAGAAATCAGAAAGCTGTCGGAAAAATCGAAGTAAATAACTAAGTTGTTGAAATATAACATGGTTGTTATGACGATTCCAGATGAATTCATTGGATTTTAATATATATATAATGTTGAAAATTAAAATTAAATAAGCTGAAGTTTGGTTTGATGGAGTACAGCAACACAACACAAACGTAATCTGCTAAGGGTGGTACATCCTGGGAGGACATTCTATGGGAAAATGGCCCCTATTTAGGTGTTAGATACATGAAGAAAACCTGGGTAATTCCACATAGCTTAGACTATCATTGAGGTGTGAACCTGTAATCAACTACCAGTGGCAGAGTGAAGTTGAAATTAAAATTTGTTTAATAACAATATTTATATAATTGAAAATTGTTGAAGACTTCATTTATGTCGTATGCAGGCTGTTTTATGTCACTTTTAAAATTCTTTCTGATCTGTGGATACTGGGAGACTGCCGAATTTAATACTTCTGCATTTAGTCGAATCCACAATAGGATGGTCGGGTAGTGAAGAATAGTGCATAAAATACTATGCAGAGAGCAGAGAACTGTATACTTACTGCCTCAGCAATCATATAACATTTTCAGCACAGTTCAGTTTAATTATTTGTAACAGAAATTAGATTTTTAACACTTAATTGTTGCTTCGCATCTCATTTATTACATTTTACATTTGAACTATGTTTTAATTATCTAAGTAGAACATCTATTATAGTTTTTCTAAGAAAATTATGTTAATTAATATATATTGTTTTAAATATAAAAATACTAATGATTCTAATAAAATCTTTTACAGAATGAAATTAGCAGTATCCCAAAAACAGTAAGTTAAATTGATAAGATTTTAATATTTTATTTTATTTAAAAATTATTTAATAAATACATGTATTATCATTATAGTCACCAAGAGAATCAAGAAATCAAAGGATGAGAAGTATCAGCCAAGACAATTCGTCAGATAGCAGACTGGGTTCCGGAAGGTGGCGACGAGCGAGCGTCGACGTTCTGCCGACAACCAGAACTTTTCCTCCCGACGGACAGAAACATGCCTTGGTGCAATCGACTCGACAGGTAGTTACATAGTTCGCTTTGTAATTATATTGCATTTTAAACAAAATTTTAAATAATTTCTTTTATGTTTTAGAGCACCAAATCTGAAAAGTATTTGGGTTTATCATTTATGCCATCTAAATCTTCTAAACACAGACAACTCAAGCCTTGTTCATTTGGTGACATACCTGGTAGAATAAGAGACGAAGGGACGGAGACGCCAACCACCTCTGCAAAGCGTGAGAAACAACCAAAACCCATGTGGAAATTTCTGAAAAATTTTGCCGAGGAAACTACGGATACAGAAAACGAAGATTATTTAGACAGAAGGTGTAACAGATTTCAAACAGATGATATGACAGGCCAGTCTGACGATGAATCTGAAGATTTTTCGGGAGAATATGTCACTTTTTATCTAGCTAATTCTCATGCTTGGAGAAATGAACGTCCGTCAAGAGACAGAGACAGAGTACAGAATAATAATGAACTATCTGAAGATGACAGAATAGAGAAAACTGAATGCAGATCCAATGCCAATCAGAAATCTTACAATGATAAAAGTGGTAGTAATATATCCGAATTAGATAAATTAGCAAATTATGATAATTTAATCGACCTGTGGACGAGACTGGGAACAATAGATCTTCAAGATTATTCGTCACAAAAGTTATCAGTAGATTTAACAGAAAACGGTACCATTCGGAGGACGCAATCTTTTACGGAAACTGTTCCAATCAAATCACCCTTGCTGCATCACAGTACTTCATTTAGACAATCTGGTTACCAAGAAAATTTGCATATACCGCTACACATTGTAGAACCATCTCACTCCAAAACCAAATATCAGGGATCAAAATTCAAGAAAGATGATGATGGTAAGAGCAAGAATACTAAATCTAGTTGGTTGTCTTTAAATTTTAATAAATCCAATGCAAAATCACATGGTAACGATCAGCCCCGAGTATATAATTCATTCGTTACAGCAGATTCGAAGCCACAACCCATGCAGATGGATTTTGTCAATGATTTAGAAAAATATATGGAAAATTCAGTTAAAAATAATCAAAACTTGTTTAATTTTCCAGTTAATGATCATGATACTGCCACAAGTTGTTATACTACACCCGCAATGAGCATGGAAAACATTCATCATCCCGATCACAGAATATATAAAGAGCCAAAATGCAATTCATTTAAAGAGTTATCATCCAAAAGTAATGTTCCTTTACAGTCGGCAGAAGGAGATGACGATGAATACTGCATGTTGTCGTATGATTATAGCATAGAACCTATTACACGACCCGAAAGCAATTGCAGTATTCCCACGTCAACAAAATCAGAAAACGAACAGTCCAAAACATCTTCAAATAAGTTAGTTAATTCGTTAGTTAAAGCTTATGCAAACGTAAAGCAGAAAAAACGGGAAAAAAACAGAAGTCTTTCTCCCAATCTGCTATGGAATTATCAAGTTCCACTCTCTTACAGTAATACAGTGGGTGCACGCATTGCTCAGCCTTGTGAAACAGAATATTGTATACCTCAATCACTACTATCTAATGATAATAAACATGATTACGAAGAACTTCTTCCTGAAAAGAAGGAAGAAAAATCATTAAAGAGTGAACTGAGACCAGATAGTGTATTATCTGAATCTTCAAATACTACATCATCAAGTGATGGAGAGAAACAAAAAGTATTTACCCAGACGAGATCATTTACGACATCAAGAAATGATAAGAACGTTAACTTGGAGCATGACGACACTCCATCGGACATGAGTGATGCTTCCGGCGACAGTTACTATGAACGCACATTCGAAGCCTTTGATAATGGTTTAAACGAAGATATTTTTAGGGATTCTGCTATTTATAGTGATCCGGATGATGCCGATATTGGCATATTCGACTTAGATCAGAATAAAACTACCATGTCTTCTGTAAATTCAGAAATTCCATTAGCTTACTATCATAACTATCAATGCAATTTTCATACAAACAAAAACAACATTAATTCATTTTCATCTGAAAAATCTAAATTATCAGAAATTTATGATATTCCAGTGAAAAGAAAAGTACCGCTGAAGAGTCTTTATATTTGTGAAAATGATTTGAGCGACGAAATCATTTCCTCGAAAATGAAGGATGTCAGCGAAACGTTCACTTCTATAGAGATTTTCTGTAATGAAGAAATAAATAGTTTAGCCAAATCAAAACTTCAGGAAGAATTACAGAAAAATAACAATGTAACAAATATTGAATCAGTGGAAGATGTAACAAACAAAGAGCAAGTAACTGAAAATGAAAGAGAAATTGTTGAAGTAACTGCCGTTGCAGAATGCAAAAAGATGGACAAAGTCACAAACGACGAAAGTAATTACTTAGAGTTAACTAATGAGCATTTATCAAAACACGTAGAATCAAATACAGAAAAACCGAGTGATAGACAAAACAGTTACGAAATTAAATTATTCTCTTCCATCAAAGAACTTGCAACCGAAAATCTGGATGAAATGATAACATCTTACGATAACTTGTCTGTGGACGAATTAAAAAAAACAGAGCCAAGTATCAAAACTTCATCCGCAACAACTATCTGTCAGTCTATGGAAGTCGAAAGTGATAATTTGTGCCCCATTAACAGAACCATTAAGGAAAGATTAAAGTGTCTAGAAAAAAATGCCAAGTTTCAAAAACTCGATATTACCGACGTGCCAATTGAAGGATTAAAAAGTATTCGACAGAGGTGTAAAGAGCTAGAGATCTTAACTAAAAAAGAAACTTCACATAAAGAGACGAGTTCTATTTTTTGTGATAAAGACCAGTTAATAAACTCAAGTAAAGCCGATGCGGATGTTCCGGAGACGCCAAAATTCAAAGGTTGGGTCAAGCACGTAGTTAACAAATTACAAAACGATAATTGATTATTATTAAAATTCTTTAGAGCTCTTAATTTTTATGTCGTACAAATCGTAAATCTGCAAAAGATTGTAATATATGTAAAATATAAACATTAATTTCCCTCGTCTAGGTGCTTCGCAAACGTACTAAACCAGGCATTTAAACCACATCCTTAAATAAATTCCTTTTGTGATAAGTGATGCCACGTGGAACGAAAATTTCTTCAAACGTAACTTCTAGTCACATTTATCCAAAATTTATTTTGGTAAAAGCTTGAATAGTTACTTAGAATCTTTTAACTTATGTTTTGAATATAAATTCGAGTTTTGTACCATACAATTCGCATCTTTCGAAAGGTGTAAAATAGTATATTGAACCAATATATTGTGTACATATCAGTTGTAATACAGCAAATTTATTATTTGTAAATAAGAACAAATATCTAAATGTAAAAAAAATTCTATATTTCTAATAAATTTTGTATTTTCTAGTACATAATTTGTGTGCACATAACTTTTGAAGCAAATACCAAGGTAAAAAAGTTAATCGGCTGAAACTATCTGGATAAAGGACTTGTGGTCCTAAGCCAGGGGTGGCCAACGGTTTTTGCCTCCAGGGCCGAATTGGAAAGAAAACTTTTTTCACGGGCCGAACCAGAGGCTGCCCTAGGAAGATTTTGAGGTGGTGCGAGATCTCATTGTGGTGTCACCCCATAGAGACTAAATTGTACATAGAGATTACAGATACATTTTGCATATTATCATGCATTATTAACATTCTATGCTGTACTTAAGACATTTCTAATGGAGGGTTAACTCTAAACGCACAGCGAGTTGTTTTTTTTTTTTTTTTGTTTTGTTTTATAGGTGTCAGAATTATTCATCGAGCTATTCGGACTTCAGTAGCTAATGTTGAAAAATTAAATGCAAGCCACATAAATTCATTAGACGGGCTGTATGTTGGCCATGCCTGTCCTAAGCTGTAACATATAACAGGTCCTTCCCCTCCACAAAATGATACATGTAAAAATATTAGGTCCTAAGCTTTAGCATGTTTAACTTAGCATGCAAATCTGGCAATGGATGCCACACACAATGATGATCTTATGATACATTCCTGTAAGAAATAAGGTTTTGAGTTAATCATTAGCTTCTTAAATCAAGAAATTATCTTGTTTATTCATTCATTTAGTAAAAATAGTATGATAGTTATGCAAAGAAACTGAAATTAATCCATGAATGTGATATGATTTAAATTTTTCTTGCTGATATTAGAGGAAATAGTGATTGTTAAAAAATATCAGTATTGTTCAATAAGACTGTGTCACACATGTCACATCAACAGGATCAGTCAAGGCAAAAGACTCACTTTATTCAGTAACCACTTGTACTAACAGAGAACCTACTTTGACTTACCACTTAACTGAACATATGTACCGTACAGATGCATTCAGGACTGTCAAGAGGGGAGAAGAGCTAGGGATTTTTCCCCAGGCCTGCAGTAGTTCCTATCCCTATAAAATTAATGCTGTTTTTGTTAATAGAAAATGAGATCTTTAAGATTGCTTTTTAGCAATAAAGAAACATTCTATGTATTTCATTTGTTCATAAGAACAATAGCTAAAGGAGTATGTTCTGCCCCAGGTCTCATACAATGGCCTCGGATGCATTCATCCACTTGTGCATCAAAACATCTAGTGTTATATGTTTGCAAATGCATCCAAAATGACTTCTTTCAGTATGATTGGACTAAACTGATAAAAAAGCAATGCAACATTTGGTTGATCTACCAAGGGGTATAATGGTAAAAATTACTTAGCACATGAGGTTAGAAACTTTTTGGGTTCGGCTCTGCAATATTAAATTTAGATGATTATAAATTTATTTTCTATAATCAAGATAACAAAGAAATGTATGCCTCACAGGAGGACAAGCAGGAAATTGGCTGTATTTAGATGTTAGACACAATGAAGACTTGGAAAACTCCATGTGACCAGCTTGTTGACGAGGCACGAACATGTGACCAACTACCGGTGTTCGGTGGTGTTATCTGCTTGATCACTCTTCAGTAGGTTTGCATTTTGTATCTTTACTTGTGGGACTGTTTGTTTTCAAGCACTCCCTCAAGTAAAAGACTATGGACCGACCTCAGGTAACTTGCATCTTAGCATGTCAACTGCAATAAAATTATACCTTTCCATGAGACTTTTGACTCTATGATAAGGTTGACAAAAATGAAAATAAATAATTAATTTTTTGAGTTTTACACAAAAAACTATTTCTATCCTATCAAGCTATATATACAGTAGACTCCACTTACTGTAATCACAGATATTTTGTTGACAAGGCCTGCATTTATATGTTACAAAAATCCATAAAATATGCTATGGAAATCTAAAATATGTGGAAAAAAGCACAATATATTTTTCGGAAATTTTTTTTTTAAATTTGCAGTTGATTCATATATTTAGAGTGGAACTGCCACACATCTCTTTATTTCACTTCCCATTTCAATTTTTCGTAACACACCATTACGTCTAAAAACTTCAAAAATAGTTTATTTTGTTCCTTATTTTTTATGAAGGTTCACACAATGAAACAATTGATTACCACTCCTTCTAACAAATAAATCTTTGCATTTTCATCATCCCATATTTAGAGATGAAAAAGTTTGACCCTAATTGACTTCTTGACTGTCAAAGAATTTGATGGTTCTGATGGCAAGTTTTGCTTATGAATTGCTGTTCCACTGTGCTACTTTAACTGGAATATTTGTGTAACTGGTATCTATGAAACTGTTAATTTTGTTAGTAATCAACTACCGGAATCTATTTATTAAAAACGAAATAAAAATAATTTAAATTAATAATGAAACAAGTAAAATTTTAAGTCCAGAAAATTTTTTCTATCCATATTGAGTTGTCTGAACATAACTTTTGGCATTACATTTGGATCGGCAGTAAATCAAATAAAACTAAACTGCGTATTATAGAGGAAGTACGACAACTGTTATATTTAAATTTAACTTAAAAAGTTTTGAATAAACCAAGGCTTGAGTGCACAATAATTGTCAAATTGTTAAAAATTCAAATGAAAAGGAATGTGTAGTCTATCTCAAACTCTAATTGGTAAATTAACTTTCTACATCAGTCTGACAGTTAATAACTACCAATCACTCACTCTAATTCAGTCAACATGCCAGAAGTAATGAAAATTAATTAGTAATCAATAAAATATGGAAAAATATGTTCATAAACTTAGCATAATTGGCTTCGGAAATCAACGGAGAAGCCAAATATAAGAGTTTGTCTTGCGTATCGACAAGAAAAACATATTGTAAAATGTAAGCCTGAGGGTTAGTTATCATAATAATTTGGAAATTACTTTATTACTGATACCTATGAAAAATTTAGTGTCTTGTTAACTTATACAAATGTACTTTTGTAAATAGTTTTAATAGAGAAAAACAATAACAGAAACAATATATTCTATGACATGTTGATATTAAAATTTCTCAAATCTTACAATGGTTGTATTCTACTAATCATAATAATGATGGTTCTATAAATTTGTTTTTGAGGATTTGAGCTTGCGTGGTATTATTTTAAGAAAACTTTGTAGGACAGTGGTTCTAATATTATGGTCCCTGGACCACATGGATTACAAATAGGTACCTACAGATTGACCTAGTCATCTTTCAAAGATGCTATTCTGTGTGCTGTTTAGCAGAATAAAGAACCCTCTTATGCAACATTTATCTCATCTATCAGGTTACCAAATATGAAAAATTTATTGATATGCACCTAGGGTAATTTTTACAGAAAAAGAAGTGGATAAGGCATTTGTGGTTTGCCATCTGACTTGGTCCGCAGAACATACGCCTTTGAGAATCACTGAAATGGAGAATTATTCTTCTGACTGGTTAGTTAAAGTTTTACATGCTTCATTATTTAAAAAAAAATTAACAAGCAGCATTAAAGATTGTAGTTACGTTTAAAACTTGTAAATTTCTATGTAAATATATAAGCAGAATGGTTTTAAATATCAAATTTAAATACTTTTATTTGTGTAGTAAACTGTAACTATATAAATTACACAAATTAATGAATCAGGTTAGGTTCACATTGTGCACTTTTTATTTTGATGATAACATCATTTAAATATACAATACTTACATAATTTAGGATAAAAGTAGTTAATTTGAACCTTCTGTCGGAAGGAAATCATATCAAAGAATCGTTCATTATTACTATTTATTATAGTGCATTCAATATCATATTTTTGTTTCACATAAAATAGAACGTGTTCCACTTTATAGGATTGTCGATAGGCTCTATACCCCCCCTTTTTTTTTTAAAGACCACAGCATTTGGGAGTGAAATGTCACTTTTACAAACATATGTAAACCAAAACTTGGTCCATATGCACACTAAACAGTTATAATTTTTTAGAGAGGCATAGTTTTATGTTAACTTCTAAGATCAATTTTGGAACACAGAATACTGCTTCGATAACATTGTTGCATTAGAAGAAATTATGGGTTTTTTTGGCTGAAATGTCAACATTTACCTTAGAGATCACAATGAAAAATTCTACCCACGAATATAAATTTATAAAAATATATGCATTCCTCTACCATTTTTATAAATTTGAAAAGCCATATGATATCTATTGGTTGTATGAGTAATCATTAGTCAATGTATTGTAAAATAAAACATTAATTTTGTTATGTAATAAGCTTTATCATAGTTTCTTTTATTTGTCTGTCATGTTTATGAAATTTGAAGTTTAGAATATTATTAATACTTATTCAATAATGTAATCAAAATTATAGAATCAAAATCATATTCCTTTATACATATTCTAGACTTAAGCATAATAAATTCATTATTAGACTAAACAAACTATGTTTTGTAACAATAATTTTGTTTTATCCTTTCCTTTAATCAAATATAATATCTTAAATGGCAAAATTATAGTTAAAGATTTAAATAAAGGCATAAAAACTAAACGTTTTGTATTAAAGANGCATCATGCTTAAGTAAGAAATCAGCAAAATTTGTCCGGCAAAATTGTTTAGAATACTCTCGGTATGGTTAATAAATTTTCTTTTTTATAAATAATAATCTGCATTTACATAACTTCAAAGGTAAGATTTTGTTATTTTGTTTCATCTGCTTACAAAAAATAAATAAATACTGCACTGCTAGCTGTAAAAAAAACTCCTGTTTTTTTTTTTCTTTTTCTTCCTTCATAAAAATCTAAAATTCTACTTATCACGAAGGTTTTTAAATATAAATAGGATTCCCATATCAAACAGTTTCTAAAGGATAGACTGGTTTTTTATGGATAGTCTTTTGTTTAACTAGTTTGAAGAACTCCATAGCCAATACATGTTTCAATTAAAAAAAAAAAAAACAAAAATATAAACTAATCTCATCATTACATAATGATGTAAAATATAACGATGAATTTTACTCCGGCCATGTTCAAATCAATCGTCTCCCATGTGTTCTTCAATGCCGTCACTTTCGGTGACGAGGGCTCTCTCCAATATCACCCTTCCTTCTTTGTATCGTTGATTTTCTTCTGTGGCAAATTCGTATATCCAACCTAATTTTGTGTCACAATTCTTGCACGATACATCTCTAACCATATGTCTTCCTGTTAGCATTACTCGATCTTGAACTTCACTATAATTTAAATATTTGTTAATAGATTTAAAATTTAAATTTAAATATTTAAAACTTACGTTTACCTGTACGTGAGATTGACGACTCGATTGAAAAGAAAAGCTCGTCCCGTGGCTCCAGTAAAGCGTGTGCTGATTAGTTCGTTGCGATTTGTCAGAATGGTATCACAACTAGCGCAAGAAAAGAGACGAGAACCACCAATGTGATCGAGAAAGATTCGTCCCATAGTGTTCAACCACTAAATTGATTTCTGAAAAGATAAATAAAAAAGTTTGTATAAATTTCGGAATAGATCAAACTAATTACAGACATTCATTAAAAAATTATTTATTAAAATAACTAAATAGAAATAAAGGAATTATAGAATTATTCCCACTAAATGGTTGGATTATTTCTATTTTTGTTGGGTAAAATACCATTTCCACTGATGAGTCAAAATTAATTGACTTATTTTTTATAATCTAGTTTTGAGTTATGGAATGGATTCTCATATTTTAAAGGTTCCACTTTGTTTCCACGCCAAAAATATACTAACTGATAGGAAATAAGTGTATTATTTTGACATTTTCTGACATTGGTCAGTGTTGCATTAATTGACAAACTGTATTTGTCATTTTCTGATTTATAACATTTGTGACAAAATCATTCTTTAATGATGTATCCTTGTGTTATAATATTCTAACAAGTTTTTTATTTTTTTTACCATCATTTCACACACAGAATTTGATTACTATTGCATACTGGCTGTAAAGTATGTTGATTTTTTTGTAATAGAGTGTATTATTATATACTGGACAGTATACATTGAACAAATTTTACATGAAAAAATATCACTAAACATTAAAATATTGCTCATAGATAAAGTAATTCCCACAGACTATAGAAGCACAGTGAATTGGTTCACCTTCAGTTTTAATAAGTACTGCAACTCTCTGAATCATGCAGTCAATTAATTTCAGGCATATGTAGTGATTTCATAAAATTACAATTGGTTTCCACAGCATAGCAAATGAATAAAAACAACTGTTTATTCTTGAACACTAGACTAAGTACATAGAGAAACAATTTTAAAGTGTTACTTTGAACATTCCAGAGTTCAAATGCTAAATTCAGGAGAAATTCAACCTGGAGTTTGAATTATGTTTCTACATTCAAATTTTGCATGCAGTGAAAAAAATGCATTGTGTAAATGCTACCTGTTATGTGTCCAGGTTCTGTCTCATTCTTGCTGTGAAAACATATTGTGTTATGCTCACGTTTTCAGTGCTTTTTTTGCTTTCTTTTTGGTTTGTTTGGTTATAAATATATATAACCCATACCTATTAACCATGACATCAAAGAACATGGAAGCAACGAAGCCTAAGAAGTATTGACGATTGAGTGAGAAAGGAACTTATTACAAAACATGAAAGTGATACAAGTGTTGTGGAGCCATGTTTAAGATGCAGAAGTGTGCAACCATTAAATATAATTTTCATTTTATTATATAGTATTTATGTATTTTATTGATCATTTTTGTGTTTTAATTTATTATTTAGGGGTTTAATTGTGTTATTTTTACCTTCAATTATGCATAGTTACTGTTTAAATTTATCAGAATGGTATTATCTAAGATNACTCTCTGAATCATGCAGTCAATTAATTTCAGGCATATGTAGTGATTTCATAAAATTACAATTGGTTTCCACAGCATAGCAAATGAATAAAAACAACTGTTTATTCTTGAACACTAGACTAAGTACATAGAGAAACAATTTTAAAGTGTTACTTTGAACATTCCAGAGTTCAAATGCTAAATTCAGGAGAAATTCAACCTGGAGTTTGAATTATGTTTCTACATTCAAATTTTGCATGCAGTGAAAAAAATGCATTGTGTAAATGCTACCTGTTATGTGTCCAGGTTCTGTCTCATTCTTGCTGTGAAAACATATTGTGTTATGCTCACGTTTTCAGTGCTTTTTTTGCTTTCTTTTTGGTTTGTTTGGTTATAAATATATATAACCCATACCTATTAACCATGACATCAAAGAACATGGAAGCAACGAAGCCTAAGAAGTATTGACGATTGAGTGAGAAAGGAACTTATTACAAAACATGAAAGTGATACAAGTGTTGTGGAGCCATGTTTAAGATGCAGAAGTGTGCAACCATTAAATATAATTTTCATTTTATTATATAGTATTTATGTATTTTATTGATCATTTTTGTGTTTTAATTTATTATTTAGGGGTTTAATTGTGTTATTTTTACCTTCAATTATGCATAGTTACTGTTTAAATTTATCAGAATGGTATTATCTAAGATCTGGGAATGAATTAATTCACTTTCTGTTATTTCAAATGGAAAAAAATTTATTCAAACTTTGCACAATTCAGTGTTCAAACAGCCTCCTGGAATGAATTAAATTTGAAATATAAGGCATCATTGTATTTCATACTATATTTATTTATTCTATATATGATAATCTACACCTAAATTAATTTGTTAGGTAGATCAGTGTAAAAAATTGGCTAATAATAAAATAAAATAATTATGCATTAAATATTCTGCTTTTATTTAATAAAATTCAGATTTATTAAGTACAAAAATATTTTAAATTATTTTTCTATGAAAACAAAACGTGATAAATTTAAGTGCACACGTGAATTACATTGGTACTATGTAAGAAAATATATTTTTATTCTTGACAAAAAATACAAAATTAACTGTTAGATATGCAAAAATATATTTTTGCATGTCTTACATTTAGTTAATTTTGTATTGTATCAATATACAGGATTAAAAACTTTAAGTATTCATGTCATTTAATGTATATTGGTAAAAGCATATACAGGTATCCATCATATAATGTGACACTTCTACAACACTGTTTTGACCTAACATGGTTTGAAAATTGGGGATATCCCCTGTACAACGTGACCTCACTCTGACACAGTTTCAGAATTTGGGAAATCTTTCATACAAAATCTCTCGATTAAGTACAAACTCTGTTATTCAATATGTTTTTCTTCAAGTAAGCATGTGTGTTGTCTCAAATTTACCTACAGATTTTTGTTTATTGGTATTTTCAATTTGTTTTGCACCTTTTGTCAGGTTTATTTTAATGAAAACTGCACTTTTCATCAACCAGGTGTTGTTGTCATTGCTTTCAGATTAAGATTTTCATTGTGTTTTGATTTTACAGATTAATCTTCATACTTAGTGAAGTTTGTTTAAACAATTTTAGGTAAGCGTTGTTAAATTGTAATTGTTAGTTAATTATTGATTGCTTTAATAAACATATTTCTCTTTGTAATCAAAAAGAATAGTATACTTTTGCTAACTTTTGGAACCTAACCCTATGTTTTGCACTAGTCCTTTGTTTCGTATAGCATGGATTTGCATAACATCAGGGGCAAATTTTCCGAGCTTGCTTAGCATGTGCCATATGCTTAAAAGAAAGTTTTGATTGTCAATATACTTTTTATATGAGAACAAACATGTCAATAATAATTTATTCTAACATGTAAACTCTTTTATCAATTGTGTTTACTTTTTCATTGGCAGCTAGCGGTTTTAAATCAGTGTGATGCTTGCAGGAACTCAGTCGCTTGCTCCTGTAGAGGTTTGCCGCAGCAAACAAGTGCACACATGTGATGTCATTCAAAGCATTTAACATGGCCAAACTATATCAAAAGCTTACAGTACCCAGTCAGCATATATGTATTGTATACAGGGGCAGATCTACATAGAGATTAATACGGCTTAAGCCCTGGGCCCTCGGTGTCAAGGGTCCACAAAATTTGAATTATTATCATAAACTTTTAATACTTTTTCATTATGATATAATTCATATTTTTCATGTGTAGATATAATGAGCTTTATAATAGTCCATACTTTTTTATTCACACCAAATAACATTTCTGCCTATTGTTTAGTGCTAGAGATAGGCCTATTATTATTATTATTAACTTTCAGCATGCCCAAAAATTTTGGCCAGGATTCGCCCCTGCATAACATGGCATTTTTTCAGAACATAACTACTGTGTTATATAAGGGATACCTGTATTTCAACTCTGTTTACTCAGTGGTAAGATGGCTAAGACAGTTAAGGTGTCAGTCTGCTGCTTTGGAATCAAATCTTGGCAGGTGAAAAACCCCTCAGAAATTTTCGTACACAATTTCAAAATAACTAGTTACTCGGCCTTCATCATTCATAGATCTACTCATTGAAGGATTCTCTCATTTGGTTTCAAAAGCATTCAGTTTGAAGTTACCAGACTGAAGTTTTGGCAATTTATTTCTTTACTTTTATTCTAACACAAATATATTACTCTAGACTTGTGCTTGGTGTCAAAAATTTACAATAAGATAATTTTTTATAAAATTTTCTGATACATATCAGAGTTTTATTCAAAAATTAAATAATAAGGTTAAAAAGGTGTATACTTGATATACAGTTTCTTAACTACAGCAAATTTACAAATATAGGGTTAATTAATTTAATTAAAATTAATAAAATTCACATAGTTATAACTTGGTCCACTTAAAACAATTTCCAGATTGCAATCAGATTAATTTCAACAATATTTTGCTTACATTTCCATTATTGTATAAAATATTTTTATTAATGCCAATAAACAAATTCTTTAGGTCTGTAATTGGATATTTGTTAATATTTTATTAGCAAACTGGAAAATTGATATTTACAAATTTAATTATATTTACATGTGTACAATTTTATTATATTTATTTTAAAACATACCTGAAATAAGCTTATCTTCAATATCTTAAGGATACTTTTAATGGAAATTTAAAACTCTGTATAAAATAATAATAATAATATATTAAATAGCTAATTACTTTATATAAAAATTATATACAGAATAAATTTCTGTTGACTTATTAATAGTTACAAATTTGGCAATATAACAATCAAAATATTAATAATCTAAAATAGCTTTCCTTTCTAGTTACTTCACACTGTTAGGATGCATTTATGCTGGCATAAAAAAAAAAAAAAAAAAAAAACAGACAAAACAGAAATTTGGAATCAGAATGCACAGTCGCAATGTAGTTTACGTAAGAGAAGGAAATGGCATTCATGTATGTCAAGTGTGAGAAATGCAGGGCTGTGGAGTCGCATAATAATCTACCGACTCCAACTCTGACTTTTCCTTACCATTCGACTCCGTTTCATATAAATAACAAGTTGGTAAGTAAAAAGGGAGTCGGAGTCGGCAGATTTTTTGACGACTCCGACTAAAACACCAAAACTTCACGACTCCGGCCAAAACACCAAAACTCCACGACTCCGACTCCGCAGCCCTGGAGAAATGTACCAACTTCCCATCCTCTCATATTTTTCTCTCCCCTCCCAAGTTGGCATATGCATAGTAATTTGACAGCCTCACCACTGTGTAACAACATAAAATGGTGATGATGGGAACACCAGCAATCTGTCGAATATGAATAAAATGGCTCAAGAAGTTGTAAAAAGCACAGGAAGGCCATACAAAAGAAAGGGAATGCTAATAGAGTAATTTCATTTATTTTTCATTTTATTTTTTCTTTGTTTTGTTGTAAAATTCATTGGACTTTTCTTTCCCAGCTTTTGCATGAATGCAACTAAAGTAAAATCAAGGAGAGTACTCCTATAGTCATGTGACTTTGGTTCAGTTGGTTTCCCTCTCATCCTGTTTTCCTCTCCCCTCTTGCATTTCTTGCAACTGCATAAATGCAGCCTAATAATTTATACATGAAAAAGTGATTAAAATATATTTCAATTTCTCTCTTTTTGATATAAAATAATACAGAATAATAATACAAATTATTTATCTACATAGAATATTTTGGAAGAAAAGTAGAACCAGAGGAGGGCTTAAACTCACAACTTCTGCTTAACCTACAGATGCATTGGAGATTCTGCATCTGTAGATTAAAAAAAATCTACATCAAATTTAGCAAAGAAAGTTACCATTGCATCGTGTTTCAGTAATCTTAAATGTTCCGCAATTCTGCAAATATACTAATAAAAACAAAACACAGCAGGCTGATGCACATACAAAAACCTTTAAAAATGCAGGTTTTCTATAGCAAAAGCATACAAAAATCAACTAAATATCTTGTATTTGATCAAATCAAATTCTTTTATTAATAAATAAAATTTTTTATATTGAACGTTATCAACAATTTTTGCATTTTAACCAAAGTATGATATAAGAAATACAGTTGACCCTCCTATAACACTGTTGATAATTCCGTTTATATGAATTCCATGTTGTACGAGTCACTTAGATTTTACAAATATGTGAGCCGTTCACAGCTCGGCATACGTATTTGTAAAATCTAAGTGACTCGTACAACATGGAATTCATATAAAACGGAATTATCAACAGTGTTATAGGGGGGGTCAACTGTAAACATTTCTTTAATAGGAAAATAATAAGCTATTATGTTCAGATAAATTAATGATTTTGTATGCTGTTGTCTGGGGATTGCTTTTAAATGCTTGAAAAACTTTTACAGATGACAGTTTATAAAATTCAAACTTTGATCAGACTAATCTAGTAAACATAGCATCCTTTCATAGAGTAAAGAAATAGATAATCCAAACATAAACAGAGAATAACAACATTATATCATCATTATTTCATCAGCAACAAAATTTTTATGTTTACTACCTTTATAACCAAATTTATCAGGGACCAATTTGACTTGTCCAGTGGTCGAGAAATGTGATGTCCAGAAAAGTGTGTGCAATTACAGTCAACAGTATGCAAGTAGCAAATGGGAGAGAAACTTTGTGAATCTACCTATGCTATGGTACATGTGAGCTGTCAATAGCTCTCATCATGTTCACACAATAAATTTCTAAAACTTGACATAGACTTTATGAACACTTATATATTGTCAGAAAATTGTTAGTATGGTATACCATTGCCTAATAGAATAAAAAAAAGCACTGCATTAACTAATGATTATTTTAGTTCTACTAAATAAGCAACTACTTTGAATAGTAAAAATTCTGAGTTATTTGATGATTTTTATTATTAAGATTCCTGAAACAGAAATTAAATAGTTACAATGGTGCCACATATAACGTACTTAATCCATTCCAGGTGAATGTCCGTTATACGAAATGTAGTTTCCCATAGAAATACATGTTAAAAACATATAATTTGTTCCGCAGCATAAAATAACCGTACTGTACCATAAAAAAATTAAAATGGAGCAGTCACCAGTTATGCCAGGTAGTCAGATGTTGTGAGGAGGAAGTGGAGGAACACTTTCTTCACACATTCATACAGATACAATAAAAAGAGACCTGCTGCAATGTGTAAAAAGTCTTTTTTACACATTGCATCAGGTCTCTTTTTATTGTTTTTTAAATCGGAGTCAGATTCAGGAGAGGCTACCGGAGCTTGCAGGGTCAACTCTTCTTGTCTTCTTGTTCCATCCTTTGTTTCTTGGCAGCTGGCTTCTCAGAAAACATGTCCAAGTGGTCTGTTTCTCTCTTTTCTTCAACACCTGTCAGAAATGACGGGCAAGGGTATCATTGTAGAGATCATTGATCCTGTTGGCCTCAGCTCTGTTTGAATAATGAGTGTTGGTAAACTGTTCAACCTCTTCCCATTTGACAAGGAAATTTTTGTCAACTTTTACTCCTTCTGATGATTTCTTGCTTTGTTTCAATTGAAATCACTTTTCTGTTTATTTTAGAAGCCATGATTTGCACAACACGTAAATAAATGTAAATACCCTGCACTGAGGTGATGTACATAATAAACAAGGGAGCAAGCCAAATCCCAACAGGAACTCGGTACTTAAGATATACTAATAATATATTCTAATAGTACTAATATATTATAAAAATAGCAGATTGTCATTGGCAACAGCAAAAGAGTGGAAACATCATTCGCACTTGTACTCAGAAAGTCCGTTGTTCGCCTCACGTAATTGCTGAACGGAAAGTCCGTTCTTTGCAGCCAGTCTGTTGCTCGAGTTACGTAATGGCCAAACAGAAAGTCCGTTGTTCGCAGAGTCCGTTACTTAAGGCGTACGTTATACGAGGCACCACTGTACAAACAAATTAGATATAAAAATTTTAAATCACTTTTGAATGAAATTTTCTTACCTTTTTTTAAATCAATTTATCAATATAAAATCACATATGCTTATTCAGTACACAATTAGTACTTCACACTACTAATTTGCATAGCTGTTCAGTGACATTTGCATTTTCGATGAAACTGACTTCTTAAAATCAGAATATCTAAAAAGAAAAAAAAATCTATTTATTAGTTTATCAAAATATGCAAAAAGTATTATAAAATGAGTTTTATTTATATAATAACAATTCAATATCTCAATTCAATTAATCCCAAATGATTTGCCAGATTATCTATCAGGCTACATTAAGACTAATTTAATAATTAGATATAAGAGTAATTTGACTAGAGTTAAGTGATTAAAAAATTTTGTTAAGAGTAGTATCATTCCTAGTATCATTTCATTAAATTTTCATTGGAATCAGTTACATTTTGAATGCTGTTTTTTACAATCATTGATCTCTCGTCGTGATGTAACGAGTTATGGTTAAAGAGGATAAGACTGAATTTTTAAGATAACTTATGAAGTCACATCATTAACATTACTGCAGTTACATAATCATTTATACATTTATATAAAGATATTTATGGTATATTGTGCTTTTTTGTCTTCCAAATATAAAAACACTTTAGCCAATAATTTTTAAAAAATCAGTTGCTATTGGATTTTTTACTGGCAAAGAAATATTATCTTATTCCAATATTTGGCACTGAAATTGCCATTGTATGAAATACAACCCATTTTATGGTTTGTATTTCATACAAGTCAGCATGGAGTTTCAAAATAGACAAAACAGATGAATAAATACATTCATTATATCATGCCATCTGATATATTATCATAAATTTAGTTTTCTCCCAACTAGTGTGATATAATGAGGGACTGCTATAATAATATAATAATGCTTTTAATTTATTACTCCTTGAGGAACTGCACTTGTACAACTACCAACCTACAAGCATCTAATGCAGTAAAAATTTCTTTATTCAAACATTTTTAAATCATCTTAAACAATCTTCTCTAATAAATTACATTCTAAAAGGCTGTTAGGCATTCATTTTTTCAAGTTGTAATTTCCTGAAGAAGATTGTTTAAGACAATTGAAAATATTTGAACAAAGAAATTTTTACTGCAGTAGATTCTTGTAGAATTGGCAATGCTTTTAACATCGTATGTAAACTACAAAGACATACTTATCCTGTTTGATAAAAGAACTAAATTTTATCCTATAAACAAAGAAGTAATAGTAAAATGTTTATTTACAGTAAGGGCCATTGAGAGGGAAAGCTGGAAAATTTTCTCCAGACCTGAAGAAAACTTCAAGGTTATAGTCCTTCCCCTATAAAATTTATTATTTTTAATAACAAAAAATAAACTCTTCAAGACTACTTTTTATTAACAAATATTTCATTTGTTAAAAAAAAAGGGACAAAAGGCAGTAATTTACCCCTAAGACCCCATACAAGCTCTCAATGGAGGTGTTTACAGCTGTAACCAGCATTTATAGTCTACATTAAATTCTAGCTGTAGCCATAAATGCAGTTTCCTTTGTTTTTTCTTACATACAATGTTGTCCCAAAGTCAGTTAACTGAGATACATATTAAAAATGGTTAAAATCAGTTCAAAACAATCTCATATTATTGTTCATGATTCAGGCAGTTTTAAGCATTTATAAAAGAATTGACTTATAGGCTATATTTTATTTGCATAATCTTGCTACTGTAAGACACAAACTCAGATCTTACTTGAATCCAACCATTTCTTTTATGCGCTAGTTCTTATTTTTTTGGTTGGATTAAATGAATATTTATATTAATAGTTCCTAGATCAAACTTAAATCCTATTAACAAATAAAATGTTTTAACATTATATTTTTATCCACTTTGGATGTTCTTGTGAACTAAGACTTGTTATACTGAGGGACAAGAGAGAAACAATTTCCAATTAAAATATATTTACTGTAACAAATAAGTGATGTTTAAGTGAATAAAATTGTGTTGTAACAAAAATTTAAAAAATAGCAGTTTAACAATCTATTCCAAAAATGTTGAAAGAAATATATGGTTATATTAAAATATAAACATAAAAAGGTATTGTCTGCTGAGAAGGGCCCAAATTGTATTGGCCCAAAATCCTTGATTGTAGTGGTATACATACAAGATTACATTACAGTAAATATATTTTAATTGAAAATTGTTTCTCTCTCTTCCCTCAGTATAACAAGTCCTAATTCACAAAAATGTCCAAAGTGGACAAAAGTATAATATAAGTAATTAAGGATAAGAAGAACATATCAAGATGTTTTAACAGTTTAACATTCAGCATATTACTAAAGAACATAGGCCAGAATCCCTTCATTAATTAAATACTTTTTAATCTGGCATGTATATCTTTCTTCAGACAGACATGCAGTAGAGAAAAATACGGTAGAGCGTCGTTTATCCGAAAACCAATCAATTGACTGGAACACTTTCGGTTAACTGAAAGCATTCCAGTCAGACTGTCGTGTTGAATTGAACACTTTTGATACTAGATTAACTTCGAAATATAATTTTTTTGTTTTTATATTTTTCAATATATTTATTTTGTTTGTAAAAAATAAAGAAATAATTTTTAATGATACAATAGCCACGATTACTATTTTTAAAAATTTACGTTAGGCTTAATATCGACAAAAATTCAATGAGAAGTGACACACAGCAGAGAAAAATTTCAACATGGGATAAGATAATATATTTTTTCGTACATAATCAGTTATCCAAAAAATAAGTTATACAAACAACCCCAGTCCCCAATTGATTTGGATAAACGATGCTCTACTGTATATATATTATTGTATTATTTGCTTATTTCTATGCATTTGGAGCTAGAACTATTTTAAGATGACCAAGACAAAACCTTTCTCACTTGTTTCTAGCTGTTTATACATGAGTACGAACGTTTCTGGCCTTCTTCGGGTACACTGTGGTCTGTTAGAGCGTCGGTTGGTCAACCAACCGACTAAAATCACTAGTGCGCTGTAGGGATTACGGGGGAAAGAAACAAATTGCCAAACTCTCTAGCTTAGTGTTGTAAGATGATACTTTAAAAATTGTGAAGAACTATAAAGTAATAATTTAAAAGAAAAATGATGTAAACTACTTTTGCAGTTTAAATCAGTGGTGCTCAAATTATGGTCTCCAGGCCAATTCAGGTCAATGGAACATTAATCTGGCTTAAAAACATATTTGGCATATGACTTATAAATGATAGAAAACAGGCCTACTTTTAGTTTATATGGAATATACGAAATATTTATGGCCTGTATAAGATTCCAAGATTAACAGGATAAGGCAATACAATATATGAGAAACTGCCAAGGAAAAGAACCTCTTGGAAAATTTTTCTATAGAAAATTGGCCCTCTATGTGTTAGACACATGAAGAAAACTCAGAAAACTCCATGAGGATAGCCCATTAATTAGGTGCAACTCACAACCAATGACTAGGTTCAGTGGTTTTATCCATTAGACCACGGTGGACAAGACCTGCCAATCAAAAAGTTTGGTACCACTGGTAATATAAATAAAAAAATTTGCTGCTTTTGTGTCTTTTATACATAAAACTCTAAATATTTGTGGAAGTGTATATAAATAAATATTTGGCTTCAAAAAATTGTTTTGTATTTACTTATTTTTCCCAAATTTAACAAAAAAAAAAAAAAAATCAAATTACTGGTATATTTACCCAAGGCATTTTTTAACAAGTAATGCAATCCCTAATCACAAGCATTATCTTTTTCTATGCATCATAAGTTTGATAGTTACAACAAGGAATATTATGAAAACTGGTAAAATTCTTTTCTTACATATTTAATGTTATCTTAGCTTTGAAGAAATAATTTTTAAGTATGAGGATGTTCATTGAGTATTCTGAAAAAATAAATGACATCACTACAACCTACAATGTAATTGAATAACATCAGTAGTCATATGCAGATGTGAAGAACAAAAATTTTTTGTTTAAATTAGTCATGGTAACTGTTTCTTTAACAACTAACAGCTGAAATAATATTCACTATTTTCACTACCTAATTAAATTTACAAATGCCTAACAGGTTTAGATTTTATTTATACAGACAGGATGATCAAAAAGAATGCTAAGCTCTTCTCAAACTGCACTTACTAAAAAATAACTACCCTTTACTAGCCTTTAACATGCAGTCTATTTTATTAATGTAATCTAATGTTTTCGATCAAATTAACTGACCTTTGTCAGGATTGAATGAACAATTTTTTGATTTATGACAAACAAAAAATTGCATGTTAAAGGTTAGTAAAGGGTAGTTAGAATGCTAAACAGGAAATATTTTGACATTAATTTAAGAATAGTTACCACTAATCTCAAAATTTATCTCAATTAACTATCTGTTGGGTCATTCTATATATGAATAAATATAATAAAAATCTAATTAACTACGGCCTATTTATATAATATGTATGATGTTTATTATATATTCATAATAGTTTCAGTTCTCAAAACTTGATTTTTCCTTATATGATTTGTTTACATACATCTCACTAAATTTCTATAAATTTTGATAACTAAATATTCTTGTAAATCATAATATTCATGTAATAAATTTAATAATCATAATATTCATGTAATAAATTTAATTTGTAAACTATTCTTGATTGCTCCACAACACTTTGATTTCCCTATCCATTACCTGATGTGCTAAACAAATAGATGTTTCCTTGTTCACAATAGACAATAAGAAGATTAAACTGTTGTAGAATAATTCAGGATAGTATACAAATTAAAAGAATGTTATTCAATTATATTATTGGAACAAACACATATTTACAGGGTATTCATAAAGTCCCCAAAAAATACTAAAATCTCAACAATTTTGTTAAATATGCAAGTTTCTTACCATCTGTCATAATCGTTAATCAGTAGTTTATTTTCAAAACATTTTTAAAATGAATTTCACAAAAATTACAAATTACTATACTTTTTTGATAGCCTAATTCAATACTAGTGATCTGGAGTGACTGGAGTGAAACAAAACTTATAACCCCGATTACTGTGCAGATGTATTAAAAACTAACATAAGCTAAAGAAACTAAACTACTGTTCAAATGTTTTCAGCTACTTTAATCATCCATTATCAGCCTCCAAAGATATAGAATGGATATAAGAATGGAGTATATGCCTACATTCCTATATCAAACTACATCCAATGTATGAGAGGTTGTTACATGAGTTTTACATTCTAGCTTCATAATTGTATTATATTTTATGCAATTTTTTAAATTATAAAGTTGAAATGTTGTATAAATGCTCAAAAGGTACTTAAGAATGGGTAACACAAGCTCTGATGCAGGAAATATAGAAGTGTACAGGTTAGGTGGTGGAAGAGGGTGAAAGAGTTGAGAGAGAAAATGTTGTTTTTGAGAAAATGTGAAAAAAACAGTTACTACTAATAATAAATGTAACAGTTTAGCAAATATATGGAAATAAATGATCAGGAAGAAAAGAGAAAGTTATAAATATAAGGCCGTTGTAATAGGAGTATTGTCAAGGTCTTAAAAGGAGGACTAAACGAAATACAGATAAAAAAAATTTACTTTCCAACCTATATTAAGTTAGACCATGTAAGTGTAGTAGATTAATTGCTGCCACACTGATTGGAAACATCTTACATTCATGACCCTCCTTATCTCTCAACTGACTAACCTTTATTCCAGAATGTTATAAATAGACAAAAAAAATCAATAAATGAAGCTTTATTTTCTAAGAGTCAACATCTCCAAATTGAATTATTTTTAAGTTATAACAATAATAATAATAGCAAAAATTTCTAATATAATATTGCTTGTATCTCTGGATTTATTAAAATGTTAGAAAGGAACTTCTTTGACAATTTAGGAATATTACAGTCTTTCCTTCAATATCCAGAGATTATCCAGACTATAATTAAAGGCAAATAAATAAATATACAAGGTAGTTTCAAAAAGTTCCCAGATTTATGATGGGTTAATCAATTAAAGCAACAAAAAAGGAAACATGTAATGCGTGTCTTAGCTAAACATGTCAAGAATAGAGAAATATGTTCAAACAAATCCATACTTGCTGGCAAGATGACAATAGTTCCATTCACTGAAGGTCACATTAGTGAGATGTCATGAAACAGAGTTTGATGAAAATGTCTGTGGAAGAACAACATGCAAATTTAAAATTTTGTGTTATTGGGGAATAACCCTCTGAGATGTCAAAGTTGCTTCAGGACACCTAAGTTGAATCTGCCATAAAGCATTCTAAGGTTTATGACTGGCAAAAAATGCTTTTGTGAAGAACAAGATAGTATCGCTGATGATTTTAGAAATGATCGTCTGTCAACATCAACATCTGAGGAGAAAGTGTTGGTTGTATGTGAGATTGTGAAGTCAGACAGACAGCAGTCAATTGAGCAGATTGCCAAGACAGCCGGAATTTCAATTGGAAGTCGTCATTCCATCCTGCATTATCAATTGAACATGCATGATATTTGCCAACACATTGTGCCACCAATGCTCATGATGGACCTCATGCAATTTCTACCTCTTCCTCTGGTTGAAAGATGCCATCAAAGGATGCCACTTCAAGAATGAGATGACGTTATAGAGTGCAACATCTGCATTGTAGGCACTGTCGTGAGATGGCTTCCAAAAATATTATCAGCAGCTATACCAGCATTGGCAAAAGCGTATGGTTACCAAAGGACAATACTTTGAAGGACGTTGCTAGATTTGTCAATTGTACACATACTTTTGAGTAATAAACCAATTTCAGGAACTTTTTGAAGCTACCTTGTATATATGAGAAGTACAGCAACTACTCAACTACTCGTTGAATTAACATAGATTTCTCAAATTTAAAACTTTTTATTTTTATTAATAATGTTTTATTATTTTAATAACTATAAAATTATAAAAGTTACAAGTTTTATTTAAGTAATATACAATTATTTTAAGTTTTTACTTATGTTCTAACATAGTCATTAATTACATAACACAAAGAGCCTTGGCCTGAAAAACTTTATAGTCAGTGACATTCAATCCTTGGACTTTAGCCAAGAATCAAATCTGACTATAAAGTTCTATGTTGTGATAATTGAATATAAAGATTCTGTTATAATTTACATTTGATCAGACATGCAATAAAATTAAGTGAATTTCAAATTCCATAACTTCAAAACTGAATAGCATTTTACAGTACCATAGATACATAAAAATTTTAACTCATTTGAATAGATAATTGCTGTTAAATATGTGTTAACTGATATATCAAATAAAAAGATATTAAATTAATACAATAAATCATATTAATCAATACAATATCAATAAATTAATACACAAAATCATCTAAACAACTTCAATCCATTTGGGACTTAAGAAATGCATAGAATTATATCTAAAAACAAATGTTCAGAAAGAAGTCATCCACTATAAATACGTATATAAAGTCATCCACTTACCTATTATTTCAAAAGAATATGAATCTGTAAACTGGTCTAAATTCTCCAGCCTTTAGAAAAAAAAAAAAAAAAAAAAAAAATACAATATTTTAATAGCATGACTATATTTTAAAAATAATTTGAAAAAAAAAAATGAAAGAAAAAATATAAATTTTATTTACATTGATATAATTTTTATGAAGAAAATATACTTTAATAAACATTGATAAAGTTATTACTAAATGAATAAATAAATATGTGTATGCTACTATTGAATCTTGATCTTAATGGACCCTGATATAATGGATTTCAAAAACAATGGACCAAATCCGTTGGTTTGAAGGTCCATCTTGAAAGTCTGTCCTAAGTTATTTGTGTTAGGGTTTCTGATTCTTGATTATTTTCTGTTCCCGGAACTATACAATTTTGATCATAAAAATTGATTTTTAATTATATTTATATTTGAATGCACATTATTGTCATTTTAATATACTTATATGCAAAAAATTAAATACAAGTTTTAAATTAAGATAAAAAAATTTTAAAGCTAAACGATTGCCAGACTAAATTGAACTATATTAACGATACTGTTAATAATTAATACCGAGTAATTTGGCACTAGAGGTAGGCGTTAAGCACCATCTCTTATTAAATTTAATAATTATAATATTCATTAAATAATTGAGAAAATTCTGAAAGAAAAGAATTGGTCCAGAGCAGGACTCAAACCTCCAACTTCCACTTACCAAATGGAAGGGTTTCCAGTTATGTTACCCAGATCTCCATCTAATCCTTTGTTTCCAGACATCACTCATTATTTAATTATTAATAGTAGCAGTAATATAGCCCAAATTAATCCAGCAATCATTTGGCTTTAATATAACTATCGGGTTTAAGAGATTTATAAATGTATAAAATGTTTATTTTGAATTAATGCACATTAACATTAAGTAAAAATTTAAGCATAAACTAAACAAAAAAATTAGTATATATATATATAATTATTAATTACATATAACAAAAATACATAGAAATTAACCTATAACAAATGCAAACAAAATGTTTAAGTTAAACTAATGAATTGACTGATAAGGAGGATAGTTGTGGAAATGACTTGGAGGAGAAAAATATAATAAATATCCTATTCTATTTCCTGTAGCTTTTTAAAACTCAGCCTTGTGAGCACTAAAAAAATCTTTTTTCTCCCATATACAGTATGGGTTTAGTTAGACCCACAATGAGAATGGCCAGATGGAGCCCAACATATTTGGACAGACTGCCCATGAATAATTCCTAGGTTCCTGATTTGTGTATCTAGTCTTGAGTTATGTAAGTAGCAATACAAATGTGATAAGAATATTATATAGTAACAATTTACCATATGATATTTACTACACAAGTTTGGGACAAACACTACCTACACATTCATTTTGCTACTCACACAACTCAAAGATACTGGACCAATACAATCCAATTCCCTAGAGCTGATTTTACTACCTTGTCCATCTGACTATCCATACAAAATTTGACAGGATGTACAGTACAGAGATTTGAGCCAGAACCTTGCAGCTTGCAAGCTAATGCTTTACCTCTGACTATGTGTGACTGCTTTGTTATAGGGGAGGGTGGGGATGAAAGAGACAAAATTCATATTTTTATTTTTCACTGGAAAAGTTTACTTCTAATCAGTTTTATTTTTAGTGCAAAAGATTCATTAAACCTTTACTTTGTTCTGACCATATTGTGAATTCATCCTATTATATTGGTAGTTGAACATGTTCATATTTTTAAAGACCTCTCCAAGTGTCCCTTTCATTCCCATGTCTGGGTTGAAAGGGACACACTCGGGGATGAAAGGGACTACCTGCGTTCTAATGTAAAACTTGGAATTAGTTATCTCAATGTTTTCAAATTTTGTTGTAACTGATAAGTGATAAGCTAGAGACTAAAATTTTTAAAAATTACACTTTTAATAATATGAATTATGTGACATCACATTTATTTTAAACAGTTAAAGATTACCAATACTTTTAAAACAATTAAAGATTATCAATATTTTTAAAACAATTAAAGAATATCAAATATTTTCAAACAAAGAACAATAACTAAAGAATATCACAATTAGTAGGCTCTCACATAATTAAACTGTCTTTCTTTGGTCAATAGAATGTTTTTCGCAATCTATCCCAGCCGATATGAGGTGAAATCAATGGAAAATATAAACTGTTTGCTTGCTCTTGCTGTTCCTCCTGCTTGGGATGGATGGGGTAGCTTTAAAACTATATCTTCCATGGTGACATCACTGATATCATCCTCTTCAGGAAATATGAACTTGTAACATCCTAATATTTTTTTCATAAACTTGACTTTCAAGTCTTCATCACTCAGTTTCTTTAAAACTTTTCCCACGAAGTAAACAACAGAAGTTTTTTTTGCAAATCTGACTAAAATGAAATCATTGGGCTGAATATGTTTGACACTGTTTTCAATATCAGATCCCTCACTCGATGTTGCATCAGACTTTGAGGAAGAGCTGCTTTGAGATCCTTCATCTTCACTTTCAGTTTCTTCTGGAATATGTTGCAACAGCTGCTTTTTAGATTTTGTCCTCCTTTCTTTGGACTCGTTCTTTCGCTTCTTCGCCTCTTTTTCCTGGAATGCTTGCTGGATTTTATCTTTTTCAGGAGTATCAGTAAGAATCCTTGTTGAGCCTCTTCTGTTAGATTTCGCTGTTTTCCGTGCAGAAGCTTTTGGGAACGGTTTGACAAGCTGAGGTGAAAGAACGCTTGTTCCACTTGTAGACGCTTGAGGACAAACAGGAAGTGTCTTGGGCACAGAAGATGTAGTAGGCACATCAGAAGTGGAAGCGGATGCCATTGGTGTTACGGCTGTGGGTGGATTTTCTGGATCAGGGCGATTAGTAACTTCAGCTTGCAGGAAGTCGTCATCTGTGAAAACTTCACTATTGAACGGGTATATTCCAGTCTTTGCAAAACCTGATAAAATGTTGTTTCGTGTAAGAGATGCATCAAACGCCTCGCTAACAAGAGCAGGGACATCATAAATCGTCATAGGTTTGCCGGGATGATTGATCATCCAGTTGTTTGCAGCAACATTGTATCTGCTTTTCAATGGTCCATAGACGGCAACATCCAGTGGCTGCAGTCGCTGGCTGGTGTGTGGAGGTAGAGTTAGCAGCACTATTCCGTTTTCTTTGGCGAATTTTATTGATTCAATAAAAATGTGGCTGTCATGATTGTCCAAAATTAGGAGTACTGTATGGCTATTGCTTGTAGATGTCCCAGCAAAGTTTGAGAAATGTTGCAAACACTTTAAAAAATTTTCAGCTGTCATCCAGCCACTCTGATGGGCTAGTCCGAGACTTTGAGCAGGCGCTCCTGCCAGCATAAAATCCTTGAAATTAACTCTTGGGAATACAAATGCAGGGGGCAATGCATTTCCCATCGCATTTATGAAACAAAGAACAGTAACTAACTGCCCCCTTTCACCAGAAGTCACTTGGGCTACTTGCTTTTCCCCTTTTCTAGAAATGACATTTGGGGGTTTGTGAACAGTAGTGAAACCTGTTTCATCACAATTATATATTCTGTCTGGAGTGAATTCATATCTCTTCATAACATCTTCTAGATTCTTGAAAAAGTTCCTGACATTTGTTTTATTGAAGCTTGTACTTCGGGCCAAACTTGTTGCTTCGGGTGTTCTTACAGACAAATTCTTATTCCTGGTCATAAAGCCTTGCAACCAATCTAAACCAGCTTGGTTATTAGTAAACCAGGTTTTAGGAATTGTATTTGATTGTACAAGTTTTGCATATTGAAAAGCCAATTCCCTCGTTTGCAGTGTTGTTAAACCGTGATTCATTGATGATGCTTGCATTAAATACAATGCTAATTCTGCCTCCTGCTCTGTAGTAAAAACTTTCCTGTTACCCACACGCGGTGAATACACTACATTGTCTTTTTTATATCTTGAAACAAGTCTAGCCAAATGCGATTTTGCAATTCCGTGGGTACTGGCTGTAGCCCTGATTGATGCTTCTTTTTCGACAACTTCAATTATTGCCCCTTGAATCACTTCTGGCATCACACGTTCTTTCTGTTTCTTTTTCTTATACTTTCGAGGCATTTTTTTCTATTAAAAAAATTTAGCATTAGAGCATGCCAAAAACATGTCAATATGGGGTTGAAAGGGACATGTCCCATTCATCCCCTATTTTACTGTCCCTTTCAACCCCCAGGCCTCAAGCAACCAAAACTACAACCTAACTTTCTGACAGTGAAATATAATTTAAAACCGATTAAATAAACATATTCTAGAGGTTTCAAAGTAATTATCCCAATTCAAGTACATTATCCAATGACTATGTTTGAGATTTTACCCCTAAATGTAAAAAATGAAGAAAACTTACTTTTGCATGCGTTTTCTGCTCATCCGGGAATTCCAAACACTGGCGCTAGTGTATTGGACCCTACAAATGTGTGAAAACTATGGACTACTAGTGTCATCTATCTGTGAAATAACGAAGCTCCATAAGTAATTTAGCAGCAAGTTATAGAGACTGTCCCTTTCATCCCTTGCCCCTTTCATCCCCACCCTCCCCTACTTAGTTTATAATCATATTGATCATATACAGTATTATTTCATTTTTGACAAGATTTCCAACAACAAAATACCAATGACAAAACTTTTGATTTTCCAGGCTGCACATTATGTTGCAACACAAACAACATTGCAGGTATCATTTGATGACTTTAGACCAAGTACTCAGGATGGAAATACAATATTAACCATGGATTAGACAAGGGCCATACTTAAAGGACCAACAGAAACTTCCAGTAGACCAGTGATTTTCAACCGGTCTACCACGAGAAAATCATAGGTGTGTTGCAAAAATTTAATTATAGATTCAAGTGCACCATGAGATAAAAAAGGTTAAAAAACACTGCAGTAGACAATTGAAACAGATGCTCGTAACTTTGACGGGGCATACCAGTGGATCCCTGGTTAGTCACAATTGCTCCTTACATCATTCTAATATAGTGAAATTGAAAAAAATGAAAAGAGGCATGCTGCACATGCTCACAAAATAGTCATGAGTGCAAGCATATCTGTTGTTGCCACTTTTTTGATAAAGATGCAAAAATAACCAATGGTCAAATGACTTTTGGTAAACAGTGGGAGTCTGCTAGGAGTTTGTGAACTTCAAAATATGATGTTCAAGTTTGATACAGAATATTGATGTTTACTAACCTCATTATCTGAAAATCTGATTAATCTGGACAATGTAAAATTATAATTAACACCTTCAGCATGTTCTACATTAATAAAACATTGTATTTAATTATACTTTTTTTATCAAACAACATTTAAAATGAACAGAACTAGCCTATATTATTGCACCAGACATTGGGCTACTCACAGGACCTTCATTCATCAAAATTATCATTAAGAATATCAATATGTAACCAAAAGTGCACAAAGTGTTCTCTAGGAGCACAACAGTACAGTTATTGTTTGTCGTCATTAGAAAGTAATGCAGTGTTTGTTTCCCTCAAACATATGACAGTAGAGATTGTTCATCCCTCTTATCATATCTCATACTTGGTATAAAGTTTATTTTGTAGTCATCATAGAATTTTTGTATATACAATAGATAATTGGCATTATCAGATCTACACACCCTCTTAGTCTGTTATATCAAGAAACAACAATGTATTACTTTTAAATATCATAAAATTTTCCTTATTTAATATTCATAATTCCTATCTGATAAACTTAAGTGAATTTAAATGATGAAACAATTTTTAATAATGAAAATTAAACAATTACTACCAGGGCCGGCCTGTTCATATAGACAAACTAGACGATGGCCTAGGGTGCTTGAATTTTGGAGGGGCAGCATGGAGAAAGTACATGCACAAATTACAATAACTAATGAAAAAATAAATGTTTTTTGATCACAATCCTTTCTCACGTGTTGACCCGTGAGTCGCCATTTTGAAAGTAGTGCCATAGTCTCATGATTGCGATATTGCGTGCTGCATATTGAATAAAAATTAGATACTCTATTTTACATTGGTGTTTTATATTGTTGCGAATTTTTTTAAATGGGGCGACGTCAAAGTCATTTGCCTAGGGCGCTGAGTTTGCTCAGTCCGGCAGTGATTACTACTAAAAAGTTTGGAATTATATGATTAATACCCATAAATATACAGTTGGAAAGATAAAAATAATGTGAAGTAAATAATTAATGCTGCAACTATATACAGTATATATTAACTTAAATAACAAAATTTTTGCATATAAATGAAGAATTACTGGTAAAACAAATGTCAAAGTTTCATTATTCATAATTTAAATATGTAAAATAAGTTTTTATATATGACATTTTAAGATAATATACAGAACAGCAATATATCATCTGTTAAAATGTATATAAAGAATCAAAGACATTTCAGAGTGCCCTGACCTGTTGATGCACTGATTCAAAAAGATTCCAAAATATTTCTAAATGATTTTATTACATAAATCTGTTTCTAAAGAATGTAGATTACTGAAAATCGTAGTTCAAAACTTTCCATACATATTCATGCAGTTCGTGTCAGGAGAGTTTACCAATAAATCTATTATAATCCTACTTATTGAAATTCACTACAGCATGACAATATCATCTTCATCACAGATATCAAATATTAAGTATATTAATTAATGACTGTATGGATGAAAAATGCTCTTATTCTTATGCTTATTCTTTTTTAACAATAATCAAGTTTCATGCCTATCCAAAACATTACAAAATCTTTAAAAACAGAGTATTTGGATATGATTACTTTTTGAAATTATCTTTTAAACTTCAAATTCTATTCGACCAAATAAAACTTAGATTTATCCTTATTTCATCTAAAAATATCATATAAATCAATTCCAATTCAAATGTTGAAATTCTCATGTTTTATGTAATACAGAGTCTTGTTCGATAATCCTTATCAGAAGTTTGCAAAACAATAATTAAACATTATAAAATATTTAAAATAATTTTGAACAGATACTTAAACTTTGTAGATCAAATGAAAAGAATAAAGTTTGGTTTAACATATGAGTTAGATCAATGTTTCTCAAACTTCACCTTTTGTCAGATCCCAAATGTAGAATTATATTATTATTATTTTTTTTACATTGAATTTGGCAATGTCTCACGGACAATATTTGCCACCCCCTTTACAACAATCCCAATTAATTAAAAAAGAAAAAATATGCAATAAGATTAAAATAAGAAAAAGCAATGTGATAATAACAAAAATGAGAAAACAATGCGAGAATGACAAAAAAAAAATAATAAGCAAAAAATTAAATTACTTGGAGTATAGTATCTTTTTGTAAATAGCTTTCAATTTATGGAAGTCAAAGAACAATTTGTCTTCGATTTCAGTAGCAGTTTTTTGATATTGGTAGAAAAAAGATCTAAATTGTTACATTCAGGTGGCAGTAGGGCATATGAATACAACTTAACAATCTACTGGTAAACATAGGAATGTGGATGAAGGTATAATGAGCAACGAGAAGGCCATTAAAATATTTATATGTATAGATATGATCAAAGTATTCTATATGTTGGAATAAGTTAGGTAGGCCAAGATAGGTTCGACCAACATCAGGGGAGTTAGTATAAAACAGATGCAATAGTATATTGAGGGTAAAAAATATTTTGTTTAGCTCTATAATAAGTTTATTTAATGCAGATGAAGAAGCCTAAGTCCATATAGGTAATGCATAATCAATTAAAGATTGGAAGTTAGAGAAAAAAATAGTGCAGAGTGTTTTTTTTATTTGAAATGTTTTTAAAATTTCACCAAAGCATTCTGTGACGAATGGATATCTTTTTGATTAGGTATTTTTATGTAGGTGAAAAGAAAGTCTTATCAAATATGGCACTAGGATTGCAATCACTATTAACAGTTTCTAGGCACTGGCTGTTAAGAAAAAAATTATTACAGAGAGGGTTTCTAATAAGATTAAAAATCATAAATTTTGTTTTGCTAAAATTTATTAAAAGANAAAAATTTAAGCATAAACTAAACAAAAAAATTAGTATATATATATATAATTATTAATTACATATAACAAAAATACATAGAAATTAACCTATAACAAATGCAAACAAAATGTTTAAGTTAAACTAATGAATTGACTGATAAGGAGGATAGTTGTGGAAATGACTTGGAGGAGAAAAATATAATAAATATCCTATTCTATTTCCTGTAGCTTTTTAAAACTCAGCCTTGTGAGCACTAAAAAAATATTTTTTCTCCCATATACAGTATGGGTTTAGTTAGACCCACAATGAGAATGGCCAGATGGAGCCCAACATATTTGGACAGACTGCCCATGAATAATTCCTAGGTTCCTGATTTGTGTATCTAGTCTTGAGTTATGTAAGTAGCAATACAAATGTGATAAGAATATTATATAGTAACAATTTACCATATGATATTTACTACACAAGTTTGGGACAAACACTACCTACACATTCATTTTGCTACTCACACAACTCAAAGATACTGGACCAATACAATCCAATTCCCTAGAGCTGATTTTACTACCTTGTCCATCTGACTATCCATACAAAATTTGACAGGATGTACAGTACAGAGATTTGAGCCAGAACCTTGCAGCTTGCAAGCTAATGCTTTACCTCTGACTATGTGTGACTGCTTTGTTATAGGGGAGGGTGGGGATGAAAGAGACAAAATTCATATTTTTATTTTTCACTGGAAAAGTTTACTTCTAATCAGTTTTATTTTTAGTGCAAAAGATTCATTAAACCTTTACTTTGTTCTGACCATATTGTGAATTCATCCTATTATATTGGTAGTTGAACATGTTCATATTTTTAAAGACCTCTCCAAGTGTCCCTTTCATTCCCATGTCTGGGTTGAAAGGGACACACTCGGGGATGAAAGGGACTACCTGCGTTCTAATGTAAAACTTGGAATTAGTTATCTCAATGTTTTCAAATTTTGTTGTAACTGATAAGTGATAAGCTAGAGACTAAAATTTTTAAAAATTACACTTTTAATAATATGAATTATGTGACATCACATTTATTTTAAACAGTTAAAGATTACCAATACTTTTAAAACAATTAAAGATTATCAATATTTTTAAAACAATTAAAGAATATCAAATATTTTCAAACAAAGAACAATAACTAAAGAATATCACAATTAGTAGGCTCTCACATAATTAAACTGTCTTTCTTTGGTCAATAGAATGTTTTTCGCAATCTATCCCAGCCGATATGAGGTGAAATCAATGGAAAATATAAACTGTTTGCTTGCTCTTGCTGTTCCTCCTGCTTGGGATGGATGGGGTAGCTTTAAAACTATATCTTCCATGGTGACATCACTGATATCATCCTCTTCAGGAAATATGAACTTGTAACATCCTAATATTTTTTTCATAAACTTGACTTTCAAGTCTTCATCACTCAGTTTCTTTAAAACTTTTCCCACGAAGTAAACAACAGAAGTTTTTTTTGCAAATCTGACTAAAATGAAATCATTGGGCTGAATATGTTTGACACTGTTTTCAATATCAGATCCCTCACTCGATGTTGCATCAGACTTTGAGGAAGAGCTGCTTTGAGATCCTTCATCTTCACTTTCAGTTTCTTCTGGAATATGTTGCAACAGCTGCTTTTTAGATTTTGTCCTCCTTTCTTTGGACTCGTTCTTTCGCTTCTTCGCCTCTTTTTCCTGGAATGCTTGCTGGATTTTATCTTTTTCAGGAGTATCAGTAAGAATCCTTGTTGAGCCTCTTCTGTTAGATTTCGCTGTTTTCCGTGCAGAAGCTTTTGGGAACGGTTTGACAAGCTGAGGTGAAAGAACGCTTGTTCCACTTGTAGACGCTTGAGGACAAACAGGAAGTGTCTTGGGCACAGAAGATGTAGTAGGCACATCAGAAGTGGAAGCGGATGCCATTGGTGTTACGGCTGTGGGTGGATTTTCTGGATCAGGGCGATTAGTAACTTCAGCTTGCAGGAAGTCGTCATCTGTGAAAACTTCACTATTGAACGGGTATATTCCAGTCTTTGCAAAACCTGATAAAATGTTGTTTCGTGTAAGAGATGCATCAAACGCCTCGCTAACAAGAGCAGGGACATCATAAATCGTCATAGGTTTGCCGGGATGATTGATCATCCAGTTGTTTGCAGCAACATTGTATCTGCTTTTCAATGGTCCATAGACGGCAACATCCAGTGGCTGCAGTCGCTGGCTGGTGTGTGGAGGTAGAGTTAGCAGCACTATTCCGTTTTCTTTGGCGAATTTTATTGATTCAATAAAAATGTGGCTGTCATGATTGTCCAAAATTAGGAGTACTGTATGGCTATTGCTTGTAGATGTCCCAGCAAAGTTTGAGAAATGTTGCAAACACTTTAAAAAATTTTCAGCTGTCATCCAGCCACTCTGATGGGCTAGTCCGAGACTTTGAGCAGGCGCTCCTGCCAGCATAAAATCCTTGAAATTAACTCTTGGGAATACAAATGCAGGGGGCAATGCATTTCCCATCGCATTTATGAAACAAAGAACAGTAACTAACTGCCCCCTTTCACCAGAAGTCACTTGGGCTACTTGCTTTTCCCCTTTTCTAGAAATGACATTTGGGGGTTTGTGAACAGTAGTGAAACCTGTTTCATCACAATTATATATTCTGTCTGGAGTGAATTCATATCTCTTCATAACATCTTCTAGATTCTTGAAAAAGTTCCTGACATTTGTTTTATTGAAGCTTGTACTTCGGGCCAAACTTGTTGCTTCGGGTGTTCTTACAGACAAATTCTTATTCCTGGTCATAAAGCCTTGCAACCAATCTAAACCAGCTTGGTTATTAGTAAACCAGGTTTTAGGAATTGTATTTGATTGTACAAGTTTTGCATATTGAAAAGCCAATTCCCTCGTTTGCAGTGTTGTTAAACCGTGATTCATTGATGATGCTTGCATTAAATACAATGCTAATTCTGCCTCCTGCTCTGTAGTAAAAACTTTCCTGTTACCCACACGCGGTGAATACACTACATTGTCTTTTTTATATCTTGAAACAAGTCTAGCCAAATGCGATTTTGCAATTCCGTGGGTACTGGCTGTAGCCCTGATTGATGCTTCTTTTTCGACAACTTCAATTATTGCCCCTTGAATCACTTCTGGCATCACACGTTCTTTCTGTTTCTTTTTCTTATACTTTCGAGGCATTTTTTTCTATTAAAAAAATTTAGCATTAGAGCATGCCAAAAACATGTCAATATGGGGTTGAAAGGGACATGTCCCATTCATCCCCTATTTTACTGTCCCTTTCAACCCCCAGGCCTCAAGCAACCAAAACTACAACCTAACTTTCTGACAGTGAAATATAATTTAAAACCGATTAAATAAACATATTCTAGAGGTTTCAAAGTAATTATCCCAATTCAAGTACATTATCCAATGACTATGTTTGAGATTTTACCCCTAAATGTAAAAAATGAAGAAAACTTACTTTTGCATGCGTTTTCTGCTCATCCGGGAATTCCAAACACTGGCGCTAGTGTATTGGACCCTACAAATGTGTGAAAACTATGGACTACTAGTGTCATCTATCTGTGAAATAACGAAGCTCCATAAGTAATTTAGCAGCAAGTTATAGAGACTGTCCCTTTCATCCCTTGCCCCTTTCATCCCCACCCTCCCCTACTTAGTTTATAATCATATTGATCATATACAGTATTATTTCATTTTTGACAAGATTTCCAACAACAAAATACCAATGACAAAACTTTTGATTTTCCAGGCTGCACATTATGTTGCAACACAAACAACATTGCAGGTATCATTTGATGACTTTAGACCAAGTACTCAGGATGGAAATACAATATTAACCATGGATTAGACAAGGGCCATACTTAAAGGACCAACAGAAACTTCCAGTAGACCAGTGATTTTCAACCGGTCTACCACGAGAAAATCATAGGTGTGTTGCAAAAATTTAATTATAGATTCAAGTGCACCATGAGATAAAAAAGGTTAAAAAACACTGCAGTAGACAATTGAAACAGATGCTCGTAACTTTGACGGGGCATACCAGTGGATCCCTGGTTAGTCACAATTGCTCCTTACATCATTCTAATATAGTGAAATTGAAAAAAATGAAAAGAGGCATGCTGCACATGCTCACAAAATAGTCATGAGTGCAAGCATATCTGTTGTTGCCACTTTTTTGATAAAGATGCAAAAATAACCAATGGTCAAATGACTTTTGGTAAACAGTGGGAGTCTGCTAGGAGTTTGTGAACTTCAAAATATGATGTTCAAGTTTGATACAGAATATTGATGTTTACTAACCTCATTATCTGAAAATCTGATTAATCTGGACAATGTAAAATTATAATTAACACCTTCAGCATGTTCTACATTAATAAAACATTGTATTTAATTATACTTTTTTTATCAAACAACATTTAAAATGAACAGAACTAGCCTATATTATTGCACCAGACATTGGGCTACTCACAGGACCTTCATTCATCAAAATTATCATTAAGAATATCAATATGTAACCAAAAGTGCACAAAGTGTTCTCTAGGAGCACAACAGTACAGTTATTGTTTGTCGTCATTAGAAAGTAATGCAGTGTTTGTTTCCCTCAAACATATGACAGTAGAGATTGTTCATCCCTCTTATCATATCTCATACTTGGTATAAAGTTTATTTTGTAGTCATCATAGAATTTTTGTATATACAATAGATAATTGGCATTATCAGATCTACACACCCTCTTAGTCTGTTATATCAAGAAACAACAATGTATTACTTTTAAATATCATAAAATTTTCCTTATTTAATATTCATAATTCCTATCTGATAAACTTAAGTGAATTTAAATGATGAAACAATTTTTAATAATGAAAATTAAACAATTACTACCAGGGCCGGCCTGTTCATATAGACAAACTAGACGATGGCCTAGGGTGCTTGAATTTTGGAGGGGCAGCATGGAGAAAGTACATGCACAAATTACAATAACTAATGAAAAAATAAATGTTTTTTGATCACAATCCTTTCTCACGTGTTGACCCGTGAATCACCATTTTGAAAGTAGTGCCATAGTCTCATGATTGCGATATTACGTGCTGCATATTGAATAAAAATTAGATACTCTATTTTACATTGGTGTTTTATATTGTTGCGAATTTTTTTAAATGGGGCAACGTCAAAGTCATTTGCCTAGGGCACTGAGTTTGCTCAGTCCGGCAGTGATTACTACTAAAAAGTTTGGAATTATATGATTAATACCCATAAATATACAGTTGGAAAGATAAAAATAATGTGAAGTAAATAATTAATGCTGCAACTATATACAGTATATATTAACTTAAATAACAAAATTTTTGCATATAAATGAAGAATTACTGGTAAAACAAATGTCAAAGTTTCATTATTCATAATTTAAATATGTAAAATAAGTTTTTATATATGACATTTTAAGATAATATACAGAACAGCAATATATCATCTGTTAAAATGTATATAAAGAATCAAAGACATTTCAGAGTGCCCTGACCTGTTGATGCACTGATTCAAAAAGATTCCAAAATATTTCTAAATGATTTTATTACATAAATCTGTTTCTAAAGAATGTAGATTACTGAAAATCGTAGTTCAAAACTTTCCATACATATTCATGCAGTTCGTGTCAGGAGAGTTTACCAATAAATCTATTATAATCCTACTTATTGAAATTCACTACAGCATGACAATATCATCTTCATCACAGATATCAAATATTAAGTATATTAATTAATGACTGTATGGATGAAAAATGCTCTTATTCTTATGCTTATTCTTTTTTAACAATAATCAAGTTTCATGCCTATCCAAAACATTACAAAATCTTTAAAAACAGAGTATTTGGATATGATTACTTTTTGAAATTATCTTTTAAACTTCAAATTCTATTCGACCAAATAAAACTTAGATTTATCCTTATTTCATCTAAAAATATCATATAAATCAATTCCAATTCAAATGTTGAAATTCTCATGTTTTATGTAATACAGAGTCTTGTTCGATAATCCTTATCAGAAGTTTGCAAAACAATAATTAAACATTATAAAATATTTAAAATAATTTTGAACAGATACTTAAACTTTGTAGATCAAATGAAAAGAATAAAGTTTGGTTTAACATATGAGTTAGATCAATGTTTCTCAAACTTCACCTTTTGTCAGATCCCAAATGTAGAATTATATTATTATTATTTTTTTTACATTGAATTTGGCAATGTCTCACGGACAATATTTGCCACCCCCTTTACAACAATCCCAATTAATTAAAAAAGAAAAAATATGCAATAAGATTAAAATAAGAAAAAGCAATGTGATAATAACAAAAATGAGAAAACAATGCGAGAATGACAAAAAAAAAAATAATAAGCAAAAAATTAAATTACTTGGAGTATAGTATCTTTTTGTAAATAGCTTTCAATTTATGGAAGTCAAAGAACAATTTGTCTTCGATTTCAGTAGCAGTTTTTTGATATTGGTAGAAAAAAGATCTAAATTGTTACATTCAGGTGGCAGTAGGGCATATGAATACAACTTAACAATCTACTGGTAAACATAGGAATGTGGATGAAGGTATAATGAGCAACGAGAAGGCCATTAAAATATTTATATGTATAGATATCAAAGTATTCTATATGTTGGAATAAGTTAGGTAGGCCAAGATAGGTTCGACCAACATCAGGGGAGTTAGTATAAAACAGATGCAATAGTATATTGAGGGTAAAAAATATTTTGTTTAGCTCTATAATAAGTTTATTTAATGCAGATGAAGAAGCCTAAGTCCATATAGGTAATGCATAATCAATTAAAGATTGGAAGTTAGAGAAAAAAATAGTGCAGAGTGTTTTTTTTATTTGAAATGTTTTTAAAATTTCACCAAAGCATTCTGTGACGAATGGATATCTTTTTGATTAGGTATTTTTATGTAGGTGAAAAGAAAGTCTTATCAAATATGGCACTAGGATTGCAATCACTATTAACAGTTTCTAGGCACTGGCTGTTAAGAAAAAAATTATTACAGAGAGGGTTTCTAATAAGATTAAAAATCATAAATTTTGTTTTGCTAAAATTTATTAAAAGATTTAGTAATTTAAATGACTTGTTTATATAATCAATACCTTTTTGCAGTGTTTGTTGGCAATTATTAGCTATTTTTATGTCATTGATATATTTACAGTGTGTATATATATATAATTTAAATGATGAGATATTTTAAATTCAAACTACATTGGGGTGTTTTTAATAAAGGTAAATATTATGAGAAGCAATGTTTTTTATTCTATGGTATGCTTTGTTTTTCCTCTAAGGACTCAAGGCCCCACCAACACATTTACAGCTCCACAAACTAGATTTAAAACTGCTGACTATCCTTTATACTGTGCAATGGTTCTTAACTGGTGTTCCTCGGATCAGTAGTGTTCCATGATCTTGTTACAAGTAATCCTCTAAGTTACGAAAGTGTTATACTAGCTGAAACTAAGGTCATATTCAAAATCTCAGCATCAATCCAGTGAGATGCTGTCAGAAGTGACATGTCTTCTGATATTTTTGAGAGAACACTGACTGCTTAGGATATCAGGAATGAAAAACATGAAAACTGGCAAATGATGTGGACTTCCACATTACATTAAATTTATTTTTGAACTTATTTAATGAGAACAGCTTAATGAAAAATGAATATTTCGAAAAGAAAATGAGTGATGATGACTTTTTTCACTTCAATAGGATAAAACATCTATGGAAATGAGTTTTAGTTATTTTTTTATTGATTTAGTTATTTAAAACAATAACTAAATCAATCCTAAGATTACACTTTAACAACTAAAACACGTTATGTGATGTCTTACATAAATATGCTAGTATATTAAAATATTCTATTTATGTACTAACCTAATCTTAATTCATTCAGGGTACATTCATCAACAAATAAATTAAATTCAAAATTGTCAATGCAAAATAGAACTCTTATGAGTCTCTTAGTGGCTGCCATCTTGAGCACTGAAAAAGATACTTGCAGTATGCTGGTAGCAACCAGAAGTTGCCATAGATTTTGAAGAGAGGTGCTGAGAAGTGTCGGCAGCACACTAAGATTTTGAAGATGCCCTATGATTAAAGAAACTTTAGCATAAATTCACAGCTTACAATGCAGACAAGACACAACTTGCAACTTGCAGTGAATTACTCTTGTTACCCTTGCAAAGACAAGAAAGTCAAATATATCTAAGCAATGTTTATGCTTAGAGAATTCATAGTTTTAAAAATATTACCAACAATGTTAAAACCTGTACTGAACTTAGACCAAGTTGTAAATACAGTATGCTAAATTTCATCATGATCATTTATGATGGTTTTTTTAAAAAGTTTCAATATCTACGGAATCTAGTGTTACCACCCGTCTGGTNTTCTTATGAAATTTATTGTTTTAAAATGTTTATAAATTAACTGTATATATAGTTTAATATATTACTTTTTATGTATAGACATCAATATATTCACAATTCTATTCAAATAGTGAAGTGTAGTAGTAATTCAATATGTTGACATGTTAAAATGTTTTAAATATTAAAGATGAAAAGTAAATAATACAATATATACTGGCAAAACCAATAACATTTCTTTTTTCATATGCCATTATATTAAAAATAGTACTTTAATACAATTTAAATACAAGAAAATGTATTCTAACTTTATCATACTTTTTATTAATAGAAAAACAGAAAATTATATTCAATCTTGCAAATATTTTTACAAATTTACATTATTTTAATAGTGAAAGAACTCACACTCACTGAAACTCATCTGCAATTCTGCCATGTTCGTCTGTTTACATTTGGCGTGCAACCTGTTGATTTTTTTACTGCATTTGTACACATTTGATTGTACACATCTATGGGCTAATCTAGCATGTTATTCTTTGCATTGTAAAATGACCTTGCACATGTGTCAGGAACTTCTGTTTGAACAAACCTGACCTGTTTGAAAAGGTGGCAACACTAACGAAAGCTCAGTATACATCTTTGCTTTTGCACTCTGAAGATTCAGGAGTAAAAGGCTATGCCCATTTTTAGAACTTAAGAATGAATTGTTAGCCTTTTTCAAAAATGAAGGTAGAAATGCTTTTATAAAATGTCTTAAAAATGACATTTGGTATGCTAACATGGCATACTTATCAGATATTTTTAATTGCTTGATTTGTTTAATACAAATATCCAAAGAAAACATGTTGACATTCTGACAAATGTCATCATTTCAGAATAAGTATCTCTTTGAAAAATTGTTATCAGAAAAAACACAATAAATATATTTCCTTTGCTTCATAATAAAAATGTCAAGGGAATTATTTCTGTTATAACAGAACATTTAACACTATTGAAAGAAAAGACTGCAAGTTACTTTCCTTCCTTAAATATAGAAAATTATGACTGGAAACAAAATCAATTTGGCACAGTTGCATCAAGTCATAAATTTTTGATACAAGAACAACAACTGATTACCTTGTCAACAGATGGTACATTAAAAATGTAATTCTCTGAAATAACTTGAGAAATTTTGGAGTTTTGTCCAATCCAAATAACCAGCTCTCTCCATAACGGACTAAAAATTTTGTTACGGTTTTAACATAATATTTGTGAGAGATCAGATCTCACATATGCCAATATAAAAACTCAAAAACGAGAAATGCTTACTGTACTAATATAGACAAAGAAGTGCAAGTAGCTGTATCACATTTTAGACCTGATATTGATGAAATCTGCAAACATTGACAAGCTCATGTATTGCATTATAACTGATTTTAAAAAGTTTCATTTTTATAAATGTTTTATATTATTTTAGTTATAGTTTTTACAAATATAATTTTTTAATTAATTTTTTTTTTACCGTTACGTATTCTATAATCTATAATTTTTAATAAAAAAGTATGTTCATGCATATTTTTATTTTATGATATTGGTGATTTTGCTGTACCACATTTTTTTACATTCTAAAGTGTTCCATGACTTCAGAACGATTAAGAATCTCTGGCTTTGTGATCCTCACTTTAGACAAGCAGCTAAGCATTATAACTTTTCCTTTCTATTTCACGGAAAGTCATTTCTAACATCATTTATCTAATAATGTCACATTATTAAATAAATGGTGATAAAAATTTTAATAATTTTTATTTGCATTACGTAGAAGAGAATTTTTTTTATTGATTATATAGTAACAATAAGGAAACTGAGGATAAATACGTATTTATCATCAATTAGCTCGTCGTCACATACCCAGTCATGCTAAATTACGAACAAATTCTCTATTTTGACTGTAATAAGTTAATCTACAATTTTTATTAAAATAAAAAGAAAACAGTCTTATTTGTTCTTTCTCTTTACTTTATAAACATTTTGGCATGATAAAATCATTTATTTTTCTTCTATTTTAATATTTAATATTAATTTTAAACAAATTTATAACTCATTATATATTTAATAAAAGATACCAAATATTCAAGATTTTTGTCATAGCAAATCCTGATGTACTATAATAAAAATAACTTAAAATTATTAGCTATCATTTATGATTATTAATCCAGGAAACACAAGCCAAATATATGAATCACAAAAATACATTTTGAATTTTCTGATTTGAAGACCCAATAAGATTCCCAAATTTCAAAGAGTATTCCATTATAATATAATTTTCAAACTAATAAAAATAATATATTTTAATAAAAATTAAAAAATTGTAATAAAAAACCAATACTTTTACAAAATTTTCTTTAATATATATTTTTTTTACATTAGAGGAAATTAATATCTTCTTATGAAATTTATTGTTTTAAAATGTTTATAAATTAACTGTATATATAGTTTAATATATTACTTTTTATGTATAGACATCAATATATTCACAATTCTATTCAAATAGTGAAGTGTAGTAGTAATTCAATATGTTGACATGTTAAAATGTTTTAAATATTAAAGATGAAAAGCAAATAATACAATATATACTGGCAAAACCAATAACATTTCTTTTTTCATATGCCATTATATTAAAAATAGTACTTTAATACAATTTAAATACAAGAAAATGTATTCTAACTTTATCATACTTTTTATTAATAGAAAAACAGAAAATTATATTCAATACTAATTGCAATTTTAGTAATTAGTTTGAATAAAAAAAAGATTTTTAATAGTTTGGAATAGTTCTCTAAATATGTTTTAATTCAATAAAATATATATATANAGGACAGATTATCGTAAAATACATTATGTAAAAACAATTATATTGATGTAAAGCTCTGTAAAATTATTAAAAATACAATCTAAAAATATTTGACATTTTTATATATTTGAAAAAAGGGAAAGATAAATATTGTTAAGTCAATTACTAATGAAATTTCTTATGCTTAATCTCATACTTTCCTAGAGTTTAATTCATTGCTTTTATATTTTTTATTATTATATTTTATTTTACATTGTTTTATATATTTCATTATAAAAACCAAAACATAATATATCTTCTGATGTATTTATTCTCCATCAATAAACTATTGTACTCATATGACTGACTGACATATATATGTTATCACTATCATTTCTTTGAATAAATTATCATCATCCAGATAATTTTTTAATACACAAATAGTTATTAATTTTATTAAAAGCAATAAAGAAAAAATTCACAAGTTAAAAGAATTATATTCTTATCCCACAGAATGCTTCTGAATAATTAAAGCGTATAGCTTCAATATTCAAAAATAAAGAAACAATTACAACTTAAAAAAATCGTTAAAAATAATGAAATTATTCATAAACATCCTAATCAATTATTTATTCTTACTTGACAATTCATTAATACATTATAGTATTTACTGTTCATCAAAAATTATCTCTATGTAAGTATAGCTTACTTAACAGGAAAACATTAAGTCCAGATAACATTAATATTTAGTTACCTGGAAACAGTTTCTTTCAAACGGTACCTGCATTAATTTCCAATTATAAAGCCATTCTATATTGTACGTACATTCAATACAAAACAATGCTTACTCAACAAGCAGACATTGTTTACTATTGAATATCAAAACCAAAATATGTAAAAATTTTTGTTTTTGGCAAGAATTAAAGCACGCATTGCCCGGTAAAGCAACTTTAATACGGCCAGATAAGCAAACTAATGGCATAGCGTGTTTCAAATAAGATGGGCTTATTTTGTCGGCTTGCTTACCCAACTGTACTAAAGCTGCATTACCGGGCAATGTGCCCAATTTCTCACAAGGTGCAAAAGCATTTGTTTCTACTGTAGATAATATTTCAGCAACCGAATACAGAAGTTAATTAAAAAGTGAACTAAAATAATTTAAAAGCAAAATAATGTAATAATAATTTATTATTTATTGAAGTAAAGAAACAAAGTTATCGCATAACTGTCAACAGAGATAGGAACTTTGCATTAATTCTAATTAAACACTGCATGGATCAATGAACCTCATCATCAACTTTTGTAGGATGAATTGATATCATCATCATCATCATCATCTTGGAATAAATGAACTTTGAAGGACAAAATAGAAAAAAAAAATTTATATAACGTCACATTTAATTATTAACATTAGAAATTAGCAATTATTTACGAAATTAGAGGTTTATTTAAGGTAATATTTACAAGAAAAACTCAAATGTTATTTCTATTTTTAATCTTTTATTCCCAGAATAAAGTAGTTTGGTTTTTCTCGAGGTTAAGCCTAAAGACATTTCATATTTTATTCACTAATTTGTAGTTATATATTCGATGACATCTTCGTTTTTAATTAAATTTACATTTAATAATCTGTATTATACGTTAAATTACACCAAAGATTAAAGAATTATTACCGAAAAGCGTCTTTCTTCTTCAGCCACGTTTCTCATCAGCTGCTTCTTTTTCAACACAAACAAACAGGTGTGACGTCATTGAAATTCTATTCTCATCTATTACGTGAATAAAAATTTTTATTTTCTGTAATATTAAAAAACGCTTCATATTTGGTTGATGAAGATTAATAATGTTAATTTAATGAAAAATATTTAAATTATTTAAAAGTTAAAATTATATCACGTGACGCTTTTTGTCCTATGATAAGCGGCGTTATAGCTCGTTGCTATAGGTCTCGTGACTAACGTATAGTGTTGCATATTTAAAAAGCTAATAATAATAATTACATTGGAATTTTAAAATATAACTGTAATTAATCTACATTTCCACACAAATTAAAAATATAAAATTTGAGTATTGTTTCGGTCGACAAGCTAATCGAATTTATTAATTCTTGTTTTGCACGACAGATGGTGCATCGATATTTCATGTTGCAGGCTCTTTAAACCTGCAACATGAAATGCAATAAATGTCTGTCACGCTAGTAAAGATCCAAGTTCGATTACGGGAAAAATTCTTAGAAATTTATTTAGATAGTTTATATAAGAATTTTAAAACTAATTCACTTCGCTGCATAAAAATTTTATTTATTTTATTTTTTAATTAAAGTACTTTTTGGTCCATGGGCTCTAAGATGGCCTTTTAAGTCATATTTATTATGGATTTTGCAAGACCATAACGGGAGTGAGATATGAAACCTGTAGGCACTAAGTGCGCCTCTTTTAGCAAACCCATTATGGGTTTGGCCAGGTTCACAATGGGGCAACGGAGTGGTGAGAGACGAGAGATGATGGGTCCTGGCCGAACCCATTATCCCGAAAAAGTTTTCTTAGTTTCCAGAGGGCAAAAAGAATAAAATAAAATAAAATAAATATGTATGTTATCTTTATGAAGAGCAGAACTGGTTTCGACTAAAAGTGGCGCTAGGAATTTTTAAATTAACTTCCTCTTGATAATCTAAACGTTGTTTTTATTCCACTATCGATTAATATTTTCCAGATTAGCCTTTGATTTACATTATTTTTAAAATAACTAATACTTAAAATTTAAGCACGTAAAACAAATTATAATATAAATGCAAGGTACTGTACTGTACATTCTGTGCGTCTGTATCAGCCATTATAAATAAACAAATAAAAATATTACGAAAATTTGTCCTGTAATTTTATGGAGATTAGTACTTTGTACTGTTGATTATTAATCTTTGTAATTCTATTATCACTTCTATTATTTAATAAAATGTTAATTTTGTTTATTTAGTGAATAAATCGGTATCAGTGACGAATGTTTACAATACATACAACGATGGATTTTTACCTCAAGGTTTCCGCGCTTAAGATCTGCATGATTTCATTTGTTTTATTATTTATTACGTATGCTAATTGAATGTATTGAGAATCGGCAATAAATCGATAAAAATAAATGAATTGGTGGAAACAAATTCTGATTCATATTCAGTACGAAGAATCATGGAGATTGCATTTGAATGTAGTCTTTCAAAACTTGTATTGCTCAACATTTCTATTGTGATGAAATAATGTGTTGATTTATCCGCTGAACAATCTACTACAGATCAAACAGAAGATGAATAAAAATTTGAAACATCCAAACTAAAGAATGAGAGATAAAAATTGTCAATATATACAAACGATTGTGTTGGTCTGGATAATGATAAAAATATTTCAAATAAGTTAAAAGATAAAATAAATCAACTGTCTCGACATTTGTTGGTTTTTAATTGAAATAATACTTATGTTGTTGTTTTTTTTCTTTTTGAGGATTTTTAGTTGGTCGTTAAATACCAAAGTAATTGCTCATCTCTCTTCATAATGGATTCAGGTTCGAACACTTAAAATTTATTATGAATAATACAGGTTAGGTGTCGTTCTGTATTCCTCACTCAGAAGAGTCAATTTAATGCGGGTTCGATTTTCTTCAGATCTATCCGTAATGGGCGATATTTATAGCAGTTGTGGCCGGCCGTGTAGCTCTAATATACCTTTTTTGTTTCATTTTTTACTTTTTCAGTTCTGTAGGTCCTAAGAGGTCTTTTTTCCATGTCCATCGTGGACTTAGCTAGGTCTCCAATGGAGGACGACCAGGTGGTAAGGACGAGGTCCTATGTAGCCTATCCAGGATATTTTATACATTTTATAATGAAAGGGGCGGAAGACCGGGACTACTCAGAGGTATCGCCTGAGGTGAAAAAGGAGAAGAGGGGGGAATGGATAAGGTGGGATAAAAGTGTGATAGGAAAGATGGTGAAGATTGGAGAGACCATCAGCGCGAGCATTACAGTTAATTTAATTAAATAGAATAATACATATAATAACCTATCCAGGACAGACCATCCATGAAAAACTGTCAGATGGCCGAGCGGTGAAGGTGGTAGCCTACCGCTCTGGGGGACTCGGAATCGAATCCGGACGGGTCGAAAAATCCTCAGGAATTTTTCGGGAGTGGTCCGTCCGGATATGTTAGGCCCCCGCCCCTCACCACCCGTCCGCCCTATTGTCGTATTGTGGGTCTGGTCGAACCCATAATGGGCTTTGCTAAAAGAGACCCTCTTAGTGCTCACAGGGAGGAAAGAGTTTTAAAAAAGAAAATTTTTGAGACTGTTCATCTGGATTCGATTTCTGATTCTCAACACCAGGAGACTTGGATCATTGATCCGGTATTCAAATATTGATTAATCATTGATAATTCAAATAAAAATGCTATTATAATAATTAAGAGGAATGAATAAAATCATAAAGATATGAATAAGTAAACTAAATATAGTATTGAGTATCTTTTGATTTTTCACCCACCAGTGGCTGAATGGATAAAACTACTGAACACTGGTTCACTGGATGGAACATTGAACACTGGTCGTAAGTTCGTTATTGTGGATGTTGTGCACGAATTAGAATATTGCTGTACTTCATTAAACCAAATCTCTTCCTTTTTCACTCTTTCTACCCCGCGGGCACTAAAAAAAAGCCGTTTAGTTATTTGCATCATGGATTCAGCTAGGTCTACAATGGAGCAGACTGTCTTCAGAGCAGCAGTTTAACGCTTTTGCTGCCTCGAGTATCTTTTTCATTTTTATTCTTTTCGTCCCTTGGGCAATTAATAGTCTAAGAGAACCTTTTTAGCAAGCCCATTATGGGTTAGGCCAGACTGGGTGGTGAGGGAAGACGTCTAAAATATCCGGACGAATCACCAACCTCCGAAAACTTCCTAGAGTTTATCTATCCGTCCGGTTGTATCCTGGGTCCCCCAGACCGGTAGGCTGCCACCTTAATCGCTTGTCCATCTGACCATTCTCTTTTAGTATCAGAAATTATAATCTTAAAGAAAAATATTCATTTATAATTTTCAATATGTAACCGTTTCAAACACCGTTATTTTCTATGAATTATCATATCCTCAGACTCCAAAAATACTAGCCAATCAACAACTTTTTTAACCCAGATCCATTTCGGAAATTACATTGGGTACGTTCGTAAAGTCAAACGAGTTAAATTGTGAATTAAAAGATGAAATGATTGGAGTAACTGTCCACCCGAAGCAATCTAAGAAAAATATTTTGGATAAGGCTGTACTAGCAACATTTGTATCTTCGATTTTAGAAATAGCCATTTAGTTCTAAACGAATCGTTCGAAAAGTCTAACGAAATAAGAATAACGATGACGTCATTCTCGTTTAACTCGTTCGACTTTACGAACGTATCCATTATTTCCCTCCTCAGTAGGCTCTATTTTATTCAGGCTAAACAAGGCACAAGCACTTTTCAATACTCTAGTAAACATACAATAAATACATTAAGCATTAATTTATTTTTAAAAGCAAACTTCACTAATTAGACGGTATAGCTGAATTACTTCAGAATCAGAATATTTTGAATAAATAAAAGCTTACATACTTGTAAGAAAAAGTTGCGGGATGAGACTATAAAAGTGTGACGTGTCTCCATCAAGAAAACTCTAGTAAGTACGGATTCAGAAGCAAATCTCGGAAGAGAATTTTTTTTATTTCTCTCTTGATTCCGTGTAATAAACAATATTACTTACTTTTTGTAATAATCATTACAGAAAGCTTTTTTGCCATTATACTTTTTTCTTTGAGCCAATCCGAAAATTGATTATTTATATGTTACGGTTGTTCTGCCAGTTGGATGGCCGAGGCGATAAAGCGTTGGCCTATCGCTCTGGGGTACCCTAGATCGAATTCGGGCGGATTGAAAAATCCTAGAAATTTTTCGGGTCAGGCTCATTTTATAAGGAAAATTACTTCAAAAACTATAACTTACTCATAATGAAAGCTCATGTTAGCGATAAAAGTCTGAAGACGTGATCGCGAGATTGCCATACCGAGACCAGAGGGTGACTAGATTTTCTTCTTATTCCTCAAGAATTTCGTTCATTATTTAATATTAGTTAGATATATTTAGGAGAAAGTGCTGATTTATTTTATCAATTTTGCAATCATTTATGAACATTCATTTTAGAAGAGCGAGACAATGAATCATTTCACAGTCAGATTCATATAAAACTAATTAAGGAAATAGAGCATTTCAGTTTTTCCGGGTTTTTCTCTTTCGATATAGTTCGATAATAAAAATTTAAACTTTTAATAATTTCTATTATTTAGTTGTTTTTTTTGTGTGTTCTAACGGCTACGAATGTTAATTTTCTATTATATCATTGAAAATATAATATTACAGATATCGATGATACATTACTCTTCTTAAATCTTATAATACATTTATGGTTACAGTGCCAAGTAGTAATATTTAAAATAAATAAATATATATTTAATATTTTTAAAACGTTGATTAAATAAATTACATAAAAACTTTAGAACGTTTTATTTGATATATAAGAATATTTTGATTTGTCAGAATTTTAAAGTAGGTGGTGCTTTTTAAGTAAATAAATTACACCGCCAGAGGGCATTCGGTCTTTCCACGTCGATGGGCGTCAAGTTATGATTGAGTGAAGGAGGGCGTTTCTGAATAGCTGATAGTAATTCAAGCAGTTCAGTCGAACTTCTTGACATATCAATCATGTTTACGTGGCTCAGCAAAGACGAAAGTCGCCGTAAACAACCCGAAATATACGGTAATGTCGTCGAGGGACTTAAAAAGATCTATAGGGCCAAGATACTTCCGTTGGAAGAACATTATCTCTTCCACGAGTTCCATTCTCCGAAACTCGACGATCCCGACTTTGATGCCAAACCGATGATTCTGCTGGTAGGTCAATATTCTACAGGTAAAACCACTTTTATTAAATATCTATTGGAGAAAGACTTTCCCGGTATAAGAATTGGTCCCGAACCTACTACCGACCGCTTCATTGCCGTTATGTATGGAGAACAAGAAGGTGTCATTCCTGGAAATGCTTTGGTTGTGGATCCCAAGAAACAGTTCCGTCCCCTGTCGAAGTTTGGCAATGCATTCTTAAATCGTTTCCAGTGTTCTTTGGTAAATTCTCCCGTTCTTCAGAGCATTTCCATTGTCGACTCGCCCGGTATCCTTTCCGGAGAAAAGCAGAGAGTAGACCGTGGCTACGAATTTGCGGGAGTTCTGGAATGGTTTGCAGAGAGAGTCGACCGCATCATTCTCCTGTTCGACGCGCATAAGCTGGACATATCCGACGAGTTCCGCAGGAGCATCGAAGCTCTGAGAGGCCACGATGACAAGATCAGGATTGTTTTGAATAAGGCGGACGGCGTGGATCACCAGCAGTTGATGAGGGTGTACGGAGCCCTGATGTGGTCGTTGGGAAAGGTACTAAACACTCCGGAGGTGGCTAGAGTTTACATAGGGTCGTTCTGGGACGAGCCCCTCCGCTTTGACACCAACCGGCAGTTGTTTGAGGCGGAAGAACAGGATTTGTTTAGCGACATACAGAGTCTCCCGAGAAACGCCGCTCTGAGAAAATTGAACGACTTGATAAAGAGAGCAAGATTGGCCAAAGTTAGTATGAAATCTATTATGTCATATATATATATTAGTGAAATTTTATTGATATATTGTTTATACTATTAACTTATTTTATGACTCTTAATTAAATAAACTTAAAACAATAAGTTATTTTAAAAAAACATTATTTTATTAAACCACTTGCAGAAAATAGTGAGTTTAAAACAACAAATTCATTAACTTTTTATATATTTTTAACAATATAAAACTTGTGTTTAATTATCCATAAATTTTCAGCTGTTTACAGAGAAGTGATAGCCTAAGGTACTTTCTATTCTGAAAAAGGAAGGAAAGAAGTAACTGTTTAATACTTATTTAATTTCCTTATTACATGCATTTTCTGAAAATTCTTTTAACATTTATCAATTTTAGTAAATAAATTAGATGGGTGTATAAATAGTTCTATTGTCTACTTATTTTTGATAAGTTATCAATTTAAACTTTTAGCAAGATAAATTATCAAAATAAAGCTTTTTTTTAAGATAGGTGAATGAATACTTCAAATCATTATTATTATTCTCAGATCTGTTTGCTTGTCATATCTAATATGAAAGTTATTGTTTTTAATTCTTTGAGTTTAGATCTTGTATCAAATTATCTGCCTACAGTTTCCTTTAAAGATCTTTTATTTGTATAAAAGATCAAAATGTCTGATTTTCCTATAAGCATTGTCAAAATTAGACACATTCACTTGATTAAAATATTTATTCTACATCAATATTATGGATCATAATTACTATAATCACTTAAATGCACATTTATATATATATAAATCATATAAATTTTGAATGCTGTTATAAAATTGGGCCGAGTTTATTCTTATAATAGCTTTCTAAAGTAGGAATTAAATTTTTTTTGTATATTCTTTGCTGTTCATGCTGATAGAAAAGTGTCATTATTTGTCAAGATTTGTGACTTAANTATAAATCATATAAATTTTGAATGCTGTTATAAAATTGGGCCGAGTTTATTCTTATAATAGCTTTCTAAAGTAGGAATTAAATTTTTTTTTGTATATTCTTTGCTGTTCATGCTGATAGAAAAGTGTCATTATTTGTCAAGATTTGTGACTTAATGGCATTATATAATTTTAATTAAGTAAGATATAAAAATTATTACTGATGAGTGAAAATTGTTAATAAAGTTGTTTATTGTTAATGTTGTCTTTAAAAATGAGAGATCTCCTCTTGTTTTTGGTTTAAATGATGGCTCACATTTCAGTTCTTGGGAAAAAAGTACTGGGTAAAGTCAATGTTTAATTTCTTTAATTTCTCACTTTGTACCAATCCTGTTTCTGTAGATTGATTGTCATAGTGGTTCCCAACTTGTTCTGTGGAATCCTAAGGTTCCACTAATAAATTTTGGGGTTTTACAATAAAGTTACTTTTTAGCTTTAATTTTTTTTTAAAATATGTATGGATTTATATGAATATTTTGATTTGTCAGAATTTTAAAGTAGGTNCTTGTTCTGTGGAATCCTAAGGTTCCACTAATAAATTTTGGGGTTTTACAATAAAGTTACTTTTTAGCTTTAATTTTTTTTTTAAATATGTATGGAAAATGTACTTGGTTTCAAAAATTTATTAATATTTCATAAGAGGACTATAACCATGTAGATTTTGTGCATATTTGTGGAAAATAAAAGCTGTTGAGTCTAATGGAGAATTGAATCATGTATTTGATCCTGAATTAACACTCCAAAACCTTTAAACATCCAGTAGTAATCAATTTAATAATAAACAAACGTTTTCGACCATACTTTCGGTTTTCATCAGGTTTAAAAAGACCACATCCCCGTTTGGTGTATTTATATGTATATATATATATAATTGTATGTATTACATATGCCATTCCGTCGCCATGGCAATGCACATGCATAACTGTGTTCTTCTAAAATCCGTTTGTGCTGTTCCATTTTTCAAAATAATTTCATAATCATTGTTCTACACTTGCATAGGTTCAAATCTAACTGGTTTTTAAACCTGATGAAGACCAAAAGTACGGTCGAAAATGTTTGTTTATTATTAAATTGATTACTACTGGACATTTAAAGGTTTTGGAGTGTTAATTTATATGCTTTCCAGTATTCACGTAAGATTTTAGTTATTTGATCCTGAGTGTTCAATTCTTTATATCTAAATACTAAAATATTCATTCCTGTCAGAGAAACTGTTGCCCAGGAGTTGGCAATGTAAACTTTTTAAAGTGAAATGGGTTTCTTGATTAAAGTAAGTTGGAAATTGCTAAACTAGATAACACAGCATTGAATAAAATTAAAAAAATTAATATCTCTCTTTAATTTATAGCAGGATATAACTGGTTTGTCAAATAAGGTATGATACTCTCACCAAATTGTAAAATGAATTTCTTTTGCTTTTTTAATATTTAGTCTGGACCCTCTAGACTTAAAAAGTAATGTAATAAAAACAGTGCTTAAATATTGCACATCATATTTTCTTAATAGAAAATTTGTAAGCTGGTATAACTGGTATAAAGTGAATAGTTGTATGATAGATTTTACTGTATTATCTATCTCATGTAAGCATATTAAAGCTATGTTCACATTTGGCATACAAACTGCCAATTCATCTCTTCTGACTGTTAGACCAGTTTGTTTAGTCCATTAGGAGTTGAAAGTATTTAAATTTTTAACCAAACTTTGATTTGTTTGACTAATTTTTTTCCTTAAAATTGATGATTGTAAATAAACCTTTTTCGATTAATCATGTCCTAACTTAGTATTGTGTAGTACAGTGCAAACTTAGCTTAACTGTGTCTTTTCATGTAAACTTTATTTCTGATAGTTATTTCACATGACTAATGATTTTTATCCAAAAGTACATTTATAAATAATTAAATTGTGTAAATAATAAAATGCTTGATCTGTTGAGTGTTCATTATTTTTTTTTTCTGTATGTTGTTGGTGTGAACTTTTTGCAATCCAATTATACTGTGTAAGAATACACAGTATATTTGGATTGCAAAAAGTTAGAATTAGAAGGTAACTACTATTTCAAAGTAATCAGTTTCTTTATATCAATGTAATTATATTGAATGTCCTATCTTTTTCACAAGGTACACTTAAGATTAATCTGCTACAAAAATTCATATTTATTTGATTTTGAATTATTTCAGATAGACTTAAACAGAGATATTTTACAATACATTTGGTTGTTAATTTTTTACAAATTTTCTTAATTTTGTACTAAATAAATTCATTTTTAATAAAAATGAATTTTCAGGTGATCGGAAAAGTTTAGTAGAATAAGAAAGAAGTAATGCTTTAAAAATTATTCAGTGTTTATTATTAAAGTATAACTGAGGTGAATCCATTTTTTATTCGTTGATTCACTTTATTGATTGTTTGTGAAGAAGGTTGAATATATTTTAGAGGTAAACTTGTCATTGTATTTTTCATGTCATCCTTCAAACAGGTTGTTCTTAATGGATTTTCAGAACATTTCTGACTTGAATTCATTTATCATAGGTCATTCTGTTATAACAATTGTTTTGGAAAAAGAAGTCATGAAATTGTTTTATATTGTTCCTTTTGGAATGAGAGAGAGCTTCACATACTTATTCTTTTTATTTATATCTTAAAATGTGTAGAACTCCTAGAAATAAGACAAATATTTCTTGCATTTTTAATGTTAATTTTTTTCTGGTATTTCTGCATATTTTAAGAATACATTTTGATAATTTTTAAGCATAATTATATCAATTTTTAAAAATGTATTAGTTTTTTCTTATTTTGAATTCTTACTTTTAAGTATGTTGATCATATGCTTTCAGAGAATTCAATTTATTCATTGCCAACATTCTATAACTGTTTATCATTTTTTTTTCTAAAAAACAACTTAAGAATCTTAGTTTAAAAAGTCAGTTTGCTGGATACGTGTTTGATTTACCGAAACAAGGCTTTTGAATAATTCTCTCTTCACTATTTTGAAAGTTTCAAATGATTTCTTTGAAAAGTTGTATTTAATAAGGCAAATGTGGTTTCACATCAATTCTATTGATATTTTGAAACCAAAACAAATTTAAAATTTCAAATTTGTCACATTAGTAATGGTTATTAAATGTTTACTTTTCAGTTAAAGCTAGAAAACCAGTTCAAATATAGTTTGAACATTAGTAATGCAAGAAAAATTTGTCATATATTTCTGGGATTTCTGTACATTTAGAAAAAAAATGTATTGTAGAATGAGATGTTTTCTCTCTCATATTTTTAAAGGTGAAGTTTTTGTACTTGATATATTTTAAATTCTGAATTTTAATCATTTAAAAAAACAAAAAGGGGTTTAATGTGTAAATATTAATGCTGTAGAATAAGATCTATGATGATTAAAAGAAAAAAATGAATAAATATTAAAGAATCTAAATAAATAATGGAAATAAATAAAATTTTAGATATGCTCTTAATATATTACATAATTATAGCTTGTAAAAAAAATGACTGCTATATTTAGGAATTTGATGATTCAGTATAATGTATAGACTGGATCATTAAAATATCATTAAAATATATTCAATAACTGAAAAATAGAAAAATTTAAATGATATTGATAAAAAGATATATACTTTTAATTTTTAACATCTCAATGTATATTTAGAATGTTTACAGGAATTTTCCAGTTTTGTTAATTTACTAAATTACTATACTATACTTTCTCATTTAAGACAATAGATAATATATGTTTATCTATCACTGTTATGTAAAGATTTATTGCTACATGCTGTTATTAAGTTTATAATACATAATAGAGAAAAGTAAAAAGCTTCTTTTTATATATAAACTAGCTGCAAGGACCCGCTTCACTGGGTTTTTATTTGTATGTAATATAGTTTATAAGACTGTTTTTCTGAGTAATCTAGAATCTAGCTGCAAGGAACCGCTTCGCTGGGCAAAAAGTAACGATAGTGAAGATTAAGATAATTACATTATAGCTAATCTTACCCATTTTCACAGAATGCAAGAATTAGGTCCCCCGTTT